AAGATATTTGAACACTGCAATAGTTATTATTAATATCTTCAACCTCCTCACCACGTAACACAGAACCTGTGAGAAGTCAGATCTGTTCAGAGTGGCATCTCTTTCATTTCATTTTTTTTTCTGCTCAATCACCCTGTGTGGACCAATGGCGTCCAATGGCCAGCTGATAAACTGTATTATCAGAGTGTAACGGTGCATTCACAGCCAGCTGTCTCCTTTCAAGCACATCAGAGCGTGAAGGCCTGAACACGCTCTGCTCACATCCCATTTTTTATAAGCATCCCTCCTCCATTCACGACACATCTAAGACTCACAGAAAATCTATACAAGAAAGAGTGGTAGTGAACAAAATGTACAGCATACAAAATATTGCACTGACTTTTTAAGGACCCTGTGAAAATGCTTGTCTTTATGGTCAAAGTCAGTCATATGTTTGCAAATCATATGTACATGTACTGTACGTATTAAACACATAGTGAACGGTTTAAGACATTTCACATATTTTCCTACAATTCTAGATATTAATTTGTTTCCATTTATTTCCATTAGGTATAAATTTATGGGCAGATTGATTTGAGAAGGCTGCATTGTATTACCTGAAAAACATATGTAACATAGAGAAATGTTAATGCAGACTTGATGACTTAAAAATATTGAAAAATATAAGACTAATTGATAAAATAGTTGAAAACAGTAAATGAATGAGTGTGTAGTGTGTGCAAGCCTGTATTATGAACATGTTGAATTATAATTTCTCATAATCTTTTATGCCTGTTTATGTGGAGTAAACCACACTAAAGTTTTTCAAATGGTTGTTTATGTCAAAAGACTGAACTCCAAAGATGCCTTTGCCTTTTCAAAACCCATCTTTCACACTTCTGCACCTTGAATTCATCATTACTTATTGGTCAACAAAAATCTGTGATAAGCTAAAATTGTCAAAATATTGGCCCTGATTATTGATTGAAAACAAAAAAACATAGTTTGCAGAAACGTTAGCTGGGATCTAAAGTGTAAGTGATTTTGTAGTGAATGGGCTAAAACATCCAAAACATCGGGTACAGGCTTATAACATCTCTGGACTGACAAGCAGGAATGATAACTTTTGTATGCAGGTGAGTGAAGGAGTCTGGAGGCTGCACTGTCACCGTCTAATCTCCCTAAACAATATAAGTGCTGATGTAAGCATCCTTTCTAAAACACTTCAGAGAAAGGAAACGAGGAGCTGCGCCATAAAATCTGGGAAACAAATTGAGAGCAATAAACATCGGCTCTGGAGAAACCTGAGTAGGAGATTTACTGGCCTTTACTCTTCCTTTGTGCTGCTAAGTGGGAGGTTGGTGGAGTCGATGGAGGTGCTGCCGTCCCACAGAGCTGATGAAGATCTTCTAAAAGCATTATTAGTTATATGGATGCTGCTCGGCTGTAATGTCTATCTCAGCCAGTCCCTGGGGCCTGTTCATATGCCGCACCGAGTCCTTTTAAACACAATAAAACTACAGCAGGACATCTGCAGCATCACAGCTACGTATGAAACAACACTGTACGACAACACTGCTTCCCATCAGCCTCTGAGGCAAATTAATATCTCAAAAACAGCAGCAAAATGTCTACCAGGAACGTAAAAGCTAACACAGCCTTCACACAACTGTTAGTCTGTTAAATCACACAGTGAGTCCTTCAGATCCTCTTATATGAATACATAAACAGTCTTTTTTAAAGGGAGAGAAAAAAACACAAAAAGCTTCCTCATGTCTAAGTGAGCAGTAATGAGTCTGTGCAGAAGAAGAATTTTCTGTATAATACTGTAGATATGACAAGCATGATTTTGCTGTCAGGAAGACAGAGGAATACAAGAGAAAAGATTCAGTACTCTTTGTACTGGAAAGGGGTCATGGTAGGATTGGTAGGTTGGATAAGCTGCTGTCTAGTGAAATCACACTCTAAATTTCTGCAGCTATTATAGAATAGATGACCATTGTAATAGGTTAAGTGAGGAAATGCAGCATTGGGAGAGAGAGAATGGTTGCTAACTGCAATTAAAACCAAACGTGCTCCTTGCTGCAGTCTAATGTTCCTTTTGCTGGCCAATAATCTGCCTCAAGCAAAGAGAGAATTGTATAGTTTTTGAAGGGTAGGCAGCAAACTGGAGGCAGAACATAGGCGTAAAAGCTCCAAACATAATGCAGTGTTTTAAAATATAATACTGCATGGACATGTTCCTATTGTCGTCCTCTATAATGAGGTATTTTCACATATGTAGCAAAAAGAAAAAGGTCCAGCCACCAGAAGAGGATCTATCAACTGTGTGAGCAATATCCCCATCTTTCTATTTTTATATTTCTGTTTAGAGCTTTGTGAAGGGAAGGCTGCTCATTAAAAATAGATACAATATCATGTTTTATATAGACAATATGCATGTTTCATCAAGGGAACAACAAACCAATGTCATGACCGTCAACATATGAAAAAAAGGAAAGCAGCCACATTGAGGCAACTACAATGTAATGTTCTGCAGGTTAAATACGTGAAGTTAAATAAAACATTATAATGTAGCCTAAGTAAGATGACTGGCATCTCCTTTGTTATTCACCTAATGGCACGCACTCACCTTTCTTACATAACAGGGCTACTGTACATCAAGCACGTAAATGGGAAACTGACACGCATTTAACGATGTGAACCATTCATAAAGAGCAGAATGAAGGGCAGAGAATTACTCATATTGTTCCATTGAAAGACGATCCCGCAAACATGTCTAAATATAGATACACTCGTGCATAAAATCAACCAAAAAAGAAACGACAAAGAGGATGAATTTGGAAGCTATAAAAGGTAACCACTTCAAGCATCACAAACCCGTGTGTACTTACATCATGAAACAGAGAGATGGCTTGGTTTTGGTTGTGGTCAAGCTCCTGCTGCTTCCTCAAGTGTTCGTGCTTGGCAGATTGAAGACACATGGTGATCATTTCTGTACATGCCAGCATTTTGCTGCTTTCGATGCGATTTCTGCCTTTTTCTCTGAAAAGATTGTCCTATCCCCGTGTGTGTGTTTTTCCCGGAGAGATTGTCCTTGTCAGGGTGGATGGATGGAGGATGATGATGTTGGTCCTGTGATCCAGTCAGGATGAGATGGACCTAGCCTGCTGCCCTCTGCTTGGCTGCTGCCGACAACAGCAGAGAAAACTCCGCCTCTACACGACTAGCACCAAAACCAGCAGCAGCATCAGCAGCAGCAGCAGCAGCAGTGATTCATAAAAAAGCCCGAGGAATGCACCATCTGCTGGTGAAGACACACGCGCACACACGCACACACATACACATACACACACACTGTCAGATAAACAGTTAATTACAGGTTGGTTGACAGGGAGAGAGTTTTACAGAGAATCTGGCTGAATACAGAAAAGAAAAAACAGGAGTGGCTTATTAAACTGACAGGCAGTCGGTTTACCTTATACTATTATGCTATATGTAATGTTACATATTATGCCTAAAACACAGTGTGAATGCAAACAATTTATTGTGAATGAAGTACCAATAAATTCTGTACAAGTAGTCAACAGTGTACTTATTCAATCCTTAAGTCAGCATTAGCTTACTAGCTTGCTATGCCAACTCGCTAGCGCGTTAGGCTAGTTAGCGAGCTAGCTCACAAGTTAGCAATTGTCAATTAAATTACACCATTGACAACTGAATTACACCCTTTGACATTTCAAAGGCACAAGCTTAAAAATATTTTACCTTAAAGCTTGGACTTCAACATGAAAAGTTACCTCAATGTACACATTATCAAAGTTAGCTGATATAAGCTAACTAGCTTCCTAGTAGTGGGACTGTTATGTTGAGCTTGAAGCAAATTAATTTTACTTTTTGTTTTCTACTATTGGGTAGCCACATATAGTAAGCATGACTTAACACCTAATTCTGTCACATTCACACAGCAAATAGTTGATAATGACAATATATAGAACTTACCTCAGGCATAGTTCTTCAAAAGTGAAACATCCCAATATTTTAATATGAAAGAATAAACCATTTAACTATTACACAAAATTAATCCAATTTTTTGATTTAAAGAAAATCTCTTGATTTATGTAAAAATAAACTCAAAGTCATGATTTTAATAGGAAACTTCCATATGGGAAAATTGTGCGATAATTATTGCATTTCCTTGCCGGAATTGGTGGCCATCTTGAATCTTCAAATGGCTCTTTTATCAAAAGAGTAATGCTCAAGGAGGATTTGTGCCAAGTTTAGTACTATATCTGTATCCACATTTGTAAGATTTCCTTTAATTAATGCAGTTTTGCTTCATTTCGAACTCTCATTCTCATCCGTAAAACAATGGTTGTAGCACAATGCAAATGTTAATGCTGTACTAAAATATTCCATACATTTCCACAGGTATAACTACTAAGTATATTTACAGTACATGTTCACACTCATGAATAGATGTTGAACTTAAAGTTTTGTTCTTGATCTTAGAAACAGTAGTTCAACCAAAAATAATAATCTTAGCTGAAGGTCCACTTACTAGATTTCTTATAGAATTTTTTGCCTCAACTCATGCCCTTTAATGTTTAGATGGAGTTTGCTCAGTCATGCAGAGTGAATAGATAATCATGTAAGACATGGAGGCATTGTAATAGGTTACACATCTTATATGATCGCAGTTGTGTTATATTGTCCATCACTGATAACTGTTTACAGCTGTGCCACAGGAGGAGCTATGGTTGTTGACAAATACATCAAACACTTATATCTGCTTACAACTACATTATTGTGTGATGCAGTTTGCTATAGATATATAGATATAGAGTTTGTTGTTTGAAAATGCAGCATTATTGGTTTAACAACTCAGACATCAAAGTAAATGTCCACCATAAAGTCATGAGAAATGACAGAGAGTGACACAACTGTATTGGAACCCTATCAACATCTTTGCACCTCCCATAGATTCACCCTGGGTGGCCCCTAAAGCTGAGACCCATATGACATCTCTGGTGGGTGGGAGTGGAGCTGATTGCATAATGCTCTTCAACATCTGACCACTAACTGGTGACACTTTCTGACACTGTTTATTTGCTGTTTTGAAGTTCGTCCTCAGTGCAGGTCAACAGGTGAGCTTCCTGACAGTCTTCACTTCTGATCATTATCGATTCATTATTATCATTATTCTTATTATTATCACAGTTATTTCCTTTATTTTGATTGTATTAATGATTATAGCTGTAAAGATGCATTTACATTCATGTATTATTAGCAGTGTTACTGTTTTATTTTATTTATTTATTCCTTCATGTAGTGGAAAACATGTCATACACACACAGTGTATCCCTAAATGACTTTTGACAGTCATTGAGCAGAGAAATATGGTGTAGATACTTCATATACTTCTATGTAGCAGTCTATAGCTAACTTTTGGATATGTGGCTTTTTTGTGAGTGATCAATAGTTAAATGTTTTCACCAACAACAAAAACAAAATTAAGATAAAATTAAAGTGTTGACCTACTTGTGTTTGACAGACCAATGTAAAGATAACATTTAACCACAGGAAAAATCCACAGGTCCTAAGAATTAGCTTATCTGCTCACCGCAGGGCATTGCGAGGGTAATGATACAGCTGGCCTCTGTTTGTAAACTAAACTGCACATATAGGAGCTCAGTGACAAATTAAAGTCTGGATTAAGTATTATTTAGGTGTCATTTTTTGGATTATTTATTTTATTTTATTCATAATATTCACTTTTCTTTGGAGTCTGAAAAACTTTTAACAGCAGGGAAATAATAGTTAATACTGAAAAGAATTAGATGCATCCCTGCTGTGTTTTATACAGGATTATTTGATAGTTACTGCAGTAATCAGCCTTAGATGATGACGTCTGTCAGGGCTGCACTTGAGCGCCTGCAGAATGAAGATAAGCAGCAGCAACCTGCCGCACCCTGGAGGAGGCACCTGCTGCTCTCTGGAGCTAAGATGAACCACTACATGCATTTAAAGCCCCTTTGAATATTTTTAACCATGTCAACTATATGGGATTTTACTTTTATGAAACTCAGTGCCAAGTTCAGTCATATCCGTGTCTTTCTCATTTTATATTTTGGTCACATGACCATGTTAGAGATGAGATTTGACTTTTTCTGTGGGGGGTGGGGGGTGGGGGGCAATTTAAGGAAAAAGTAAATACATAATACTCTTTTACACATCCTGAATGCAATGAAATATTTATACTCTTCACAAATATATTACAGATGCTGAGTCAGCCTTTGCATGTTTGTAGGATAAAATGGATTTCCTGTCTCCTGTCTTAATTTAGAGTAAGAACAGCTGCAGTACCATGGCTGCCTTCCTGCATCACTGCCCCTTTCTGAAGTCAGTTCCTAAACCAGCTTTAAGACGGACAGGAGCGGCCTGGCTGACTCTGGCTGATAAATGCCCCATCATTGCTCGCCAGATCACCGTGAGTAGCCCGGCCTCTCTGAATGCCGCGCTGACCATATCGCCTACCAAGATGAAGAGTCACCGACTTCCAACGGTGGACCAAAGGATAATGTCTTCTCAAACGGCCACTCAGGTGGCTGTGTCTGTATCGAAGGTTTGCCCTTTTGTCACCTCTCAGATTGGGATGGTCCAAGCCAGCCTTGAAGTACAGGAGGACGTCAAAGAAGGTAGGCAGAATAGAAAAGCTGTAGTGATGCTGCAATTAATATACACAACACCAGAGAAACTGAATTTGAACTTTAAGAGAAGCGAAAATTGCCAAATTTCAAACAGAAAACAAAAATCCAGGACAAAATTGCAACAATCCTTCACTGACAGACCTGCACTCCTCTTTCACAGGTTTGATGACTTCTCTGTTAAAGGGTTTAAAAGATTCAGTCCTCCAACCATCAGTTCAGACCAACACTGTCACCCACCTCCTTAAAGACAACATGGGTATGATTGACCATTTAAAAAGGGCCGAGAGCTACTACTACTCATTTAATAATGTGACGTTTTGTAAAAACATGTTTTTTATTTGCCCAATCAGATAGCCGTTCATTGAATGCAGTAATTAATTTAAAGTGAAACCCATCCCTCCCGCAGCTGGCCCCAGCTATGACTACGACCGCTTCTTCATTGAGAAGATCGCTGACAAAAAGAAGGACCACACATACAGAGTCTTCAAGACGGTGAACAGGAATGCTGAGGTCTTCCCTTTTGCAGAGGATTACTCCGTCTCTGGGCGGGAGGGCTCCCAGGTGTCCGTCTGGTGCAGCAACGACTATCTGGGAATGAGTCGGCACCCACGGGTCCTCAGTGCGATCAGGTAAAATGAGACAGAATAAAAGCCCTTTGAAGAAAGTCTCAAGTCAGTCAAGATGAGTTCAACTTAAATCCCAGTTCTTGTCGAAGTCAAAGTCAAGTGTGATGTGGGCAAATTATGTAGGGAAACTGCAAGTCATTTAGAAGTCTGACATTTTCCTTTCAAAGCTATTTTTATACATAGCAGAGATGAAGTCCTTGAAATGCATAGACCAAATATTTCATTTGTCAAGGTGTATCGTGTTCAAGTTCCTGCTTTTCACTGTCTTATTTATTTTTCATTCTTCCCTAGAGGGACTTGAATGTTTGGGCTGTTATCTCAAGGAGGCAAATGTTAAGTTAGTAAAGTTTTACCGCAGTCAAGTCCAATTCCAGCCTCAAGAACCGAACTTTGTAACTTAGTTATTGTTTTTCAGTGGCAGATGTACATGTGAGGTTCAGTCTATCGTCAATCTTTCTTTCTGAATATAAAACATTTTTATTTATTTAGTAATTAGTGGGTTCCAGTTGTAGTACCAAGGACACCTCTCATGACATGGATTATGTTTGATCATTTAGTTGTTTGTTTCTCAGAGATGCCCTGGACAGACACGGTGCAGGTGCAGGTGGGACCAGGAACATCTCTGGCACCAGTAACTTCCACGTGTCTCTGGAGAAAGAGCTCGCCCATCTACACAAGAAAGACGCAGCTCTGGTCTTCTCCTCCTGCTTCGTGGCAAATGACTCCACCCTCTTCACTTTAGCTAAAATGCTGCCAGGTAAATACTGTGCCATGGGCCATATGAATAGACTCAGGTGATGCCATCCAGGAAAAGGTCCAGCACGAATGTCACTGTCTCTGTTTTTGAATCACTTTTCGAGATATTCTGTATTCTGGAACCCATATTCTAGACATATTCATGATTCATAAATCGTAGAAAAGGGCAAGAACATCTTTATACTGTTCAGTGGGAAGTCATCGCCATTGGTTTGATGGTGTGTGTGATCTGTTGTACAGGGTGCGAGATCTACTCAGATGCAGGGAACCACGCATCAATGATTCAGGGCATCAGGAACAGTGGAGTGAAGCGCTTCATCTTCCGCCATAATGATAGCCGCCACCTGGAGGAACTGCTGCAACGCTCAGACCCCAAAACACCCAAAATAGTGGCATTTGAGACGGTGCATTCGATGGATGGTGAGTACAGTGAAATGTTAAGTTGCAGTGATAGTAGAGGTTGTTTACATTGATAGATCATTTTTAGCTGATAAACCTATATAAATGTTTTTTTGTATGCAGTTTTATGTGTATGAAGACTGAGCTATATGATCATTCAAGCTGACACACAAGATATAAATGTTGATGTTAATTTGTACTATATACTGTAACATTGCATGCAATATCACTTTAGTTTGCTGTATATGGGAGGCTGCACGCTGTGCATGTGAGAATTGGCACACAATCCATGGCAATATCAAGAATTTCATTTGTGCTCTGTTGATGCAATTGACTAAAACCCTTTTTCATACTGTGTCATTAATGACTAGAAATACCACTTGAAATTTGCTAATTATATCTCTAATGAATCCATATATTTATCATGTAAATTTGGTCAAACAGTCATTTTCAGCAAAGTTCATAATTCATAGCTAATAAAAATAAAGCTGGCATTACTTCTATACAATTACTCAGTCTGCAATATTTGTCATTCATCACTGTCTCCCAAGGGAGGAAATAGTATTCCCCCTCAGCTCTTTCTCTCTGTCTGATATTACACCAGTGACGGCTCCATAAAGCACAAACTGAAGTAGACCGAATGGATGGCTGCAACTGTATCCAGGACAATTTCACCCCAAAAGAAGTCATTTTTAAAGAAATATTCTATGATTTGTAGCTGTAGTGAGATTTTAATATCTTCAGTCATGAGAACGGCTCTCCATATACATTTTCTGCTACAGTACAGACTGTATGTGTTCTATATATTACAACATGGTGAAATTTACAGCATGAATGTCCGGCTGTTCACCTGTGATGCACAGTTCTAATTATACCACCTAATTCTCTGGGGCTTTCAGGTGCCATATGTCCTCTAGAAGAGCTGTGCGATGTGGCTCACCGTTATGGAGCTCTGACGTTTGTTGATGAAGTACACGCTGTGGGCCTGTATGGAGCCCATGGAGCTGGAGTGGGAGAGAGAGACAATGTTATGCACAAGATTGACATTGTGTCTGGGACCTTAGGTGAGTATCTTTTAAAGAAAATCCTTGCATTTAAATTATTTTATTATTTTTCAAAGAGATTAAAGGGCACTCCTACAATGATAACTCTTACATCAGTCATCCACCAACATATCCTTTCACTATGACACCAAGAGGGGCAAGGCAAACGGCTTCAAACTGTCATAGATTAATTATCCCTTGTGTCTTGGCTAAACTCTCATTCACAGCCTCTCTTGCACTAACTGACAAGGTCATACTGCCAACACAGAAGCAATAGCTCTCAACAAGCATGATGACATTCTCATGTTGGTTAGACAGAGGGCAGGAGAGGAGTGAACTCTCATCAAAGGACGCAGAGGTTTTATCAGCTGGGTGCCAGCTTTACTCCCTCTCTGGTCGTACTGATAAAACGATCATCAGGGAGGCCATGCTATCTGTATCTGTATCTACTGACTGCAAAGTTAATCCCCGTCAACCACACATCAATTGTAAACTCATACAACAACTTTACAAGGCATGGTTACAAGTGTTCACTTGGCAATAAATAAAGTACTTCAACAATCTGAAATAACAAATTAATAGTGGTGTATTATCAACACACAACGTTTGTTTGATATGTTATGGCGATTTTATGATGTGATACAGAAAAATAATCAATTCATCATTTATCAATGTATCATATAACAGTATAGCACTTGGGACATCAAAATAAAACAGAGTTTAATCTCACTGCCAGCAGTTTATATAAAACACAAGTCATTTAAATACTTAAAAATGATGTGGTATCAAATTCATCTCAGGTCAACTACCTCAACAACAGCACCGTACTACATACAGACTGCATGAAGTACATTTATTCAATCAGGTTTTAAACTAAATTGAAATTAAACACACAATTATATCCCTACAAATTAGACAGTATCCATCAGACTTTAGTAAAAACAGCAATACAACAATGAAAAACTGCTGCATTCAAAATGAAACTAATACCATTATTAAATCTACAGTATGTATGTATTGAAGGTAAAAGTGCTCATTATGCATATTGTATTAGTTATTTAACTGTATTATCATTAAAAAAAAAATCATACTTATATAAAATATGAATCTACAACTTGACTTTATCTGCCAAATAAATGCATGGAGTAAAATGTATCTTCTCTGAAAGGTAAGAGTAAATAAAAAGGTTTTAAAAAAGTACTATGAAGTAAAGTATGTTACATTTGCACTTCCCTTCGCTGATTATTTCCTCACCTCATATACCCTCTGTCATCTGTTGCTGTTCCAGGAAAAGCCTTTGGCTGTGTGGGAGGCTACATTGCCAGCAGCGCTGCCCTAGTGGACACAGTGCGCTCCTTTGCAGCTGGCTTCATCTTCACAACTGCCCTGCCACCAATGGCTCTGGCTGGAGCCTTGGAGTCTGTCCGGGTGCTGAAGAGCCCCGAGGGGCAGGGGCTCCGCAGAGCCCACCAGAGGAACGTAAAACACATGAGGCAGCTGCTCATGGATAATGGCCTACCTGTGGTCAACTGCCCCAGCCACATCATCCCCATACGGGTATGACGATGTAGCACTGCTGCTGCCTCCACTACTACATTACCTCTCTCTAACAACTCCTCAGCTGATGATAGTGAAGTGTCTCTAAGGTCAAAGCAGTATCACCTTCAGCAAGCTATTCATTTTCTTTCAAGATTAAGCAGACATCTTTAATTAATCTCACACTAGGGAAAGCAGGGGTGGAAAAAATAAAATTAATGATGGTTGAATTTCATTTAGCTGCTTCAGTTTCAGGGTCCTGGTGTTGTTCCTGCTGGCTCACTGTGATGGCTCACTGGGACACTTGAAAAGAAAAGAGCCATCATTAATGCTGTTAGTAACTCCTGCTCTCTTCCTACTGTGACAATTCATAGTAGTTTCTGCAATGAAAAGGGTCTGATGTGCACTCCTCTGTAACTCAACTAGTACAGCACAGAACACATGGAGTCTGGAGTGTGCCACCACAGTAATTCTAGACTTTTTCAGTGTTTAATTATAATCCCATTCATACATTTTAGAAAACAGTTATATGTCATTATGTTAATTCAGTCTGAAATATTTTTGTAATACCATTTATTTTTTGGTTCCATTTTGAAATTCAGTTACTAATAAATAATTTATAAACAGATGAGAGGTTTTTTTCTTTTCTTAATGCCTAATTTAGATGCTAATTTAATTAGTCAATTTGTAAGTTTCAAATGCATCACTTAATCAGTTACAACTTAACACTTAAAAGTTTGTAAATTAGTGTAAACCACAGTACTGACTTTGATAGCTACATGTATAATCTGAATGTGCTGAGTAAAAGCGTACACTAAATGGTTAATGTCACTTTTCACTGGTCCATTTTCTAGGTGGGCAACGCTGAGCTGAACACCAAGGTGTGTGACACCCTGCTGGAGAGATACAACATCTACGTCCAGGCCATTAACTACCCCACAGTGCCGCGAGGTGAGGAGCTGTTGCGCCTGGCTCCGTCTCCTCATCACAATCCCGCCATGATGGAGTATTTTGTGGGTAAGTGTTGGGAGCCTTACTGCTGTTAGGTCAGAGTTGTTGTAGTAAACGTCCAATCAAGCTAAGTGGGGACAATGGCAGGTACAAGTGATTTATGTTTGTTGTCAGTGAGTCTCTTTGCATTGTAAGCACCAAAACTGCAATGCAGTAAAAATAACAATATCATAATATCACGTCACGCAACATAATCTCTCAGCTAAAATGACCAGAGCTGAAACTTTTAAGATGGAAAAATACATATTTGGATTTATTTGCTCATTCTTATGAATGTTTGTTTCACTCACAGATGCACTGGTGGAGGTGTGGCAGGAGGCGGGGCTCCTGCTCAACAGCCCGGCCACGGCCTCCTGCACCTTCTGTGATCGCAAGCTGCATTTTGACCTCATGAGTGAGTGGGAGAAATCCTACTTCGGCAACATGGAACCGCAATACATTACTGTGTCTGCATAATACCAAAGTAAATCAAGTTTCTCACCACAAGCTACACATACAGTATATGTTTAAATTTAATACTATTTTTGACATTATTTTAAATTATACTTCAGGTGCACTAAGAGTACTAATGTACTAACTTTGTATTTGTGTTTAAATATTCTTTAATGTCAGTGGCATGGACTTAATTCCAGTATTTATTCATGTTTTCCTGTATTTATGTATTCAAAATTTGTGGTTAAATATTATTAAAGAAAATTGTGCCTCCACCATTTTAAAAGCATAAAACCTGCACATCGGGCACTTTCTTAAATCTCTTATCTAGGTGTGATAGTTCCAATTAAACCATGCTTTCTTTCATTTTGCGTGATTTCCTCTATACCATATAATCATCATGACCATCATGTTTTGTTTCCATCTCCACAATAATTAAGTTACTAATGTTTCAGTCATAAAATGTGTGAACTAGCAAAGTTAACTGGTTCATAAAATAAGGGATAATAAAACATTCAATAAAATTGTGGTGTTGAAAAACTCTACAATTCACTTACTCCTCTTATAATCAATATATATAATATATGCTGTGCTGTGATTTTAAAGATATTGACTACAACAACAAACACTGTTGTTATTCCTTAGTTAGAACTTGGAAGACATGATACAAATAAAAGCACCGTGTTCTCAAAGAACCATCAAACATGTCTAATAAAAGTGTGGGAGAATTCTCAACAGTTTTCATCAGTGTCTCCACCATAAGACAATTTAAGGTACAGGCACTGACATGGCTACATCCTGTGTTCTGTTTCACTCTGACTATCAACACTAGTTGACATTGCAGGGGCTGGCCACTTCCCGTTTCACTCTTGCCCTCAGTCTGCGGAGCTCTGCGTTCTCACTGTCCACAGTGAGACCACATTCAATTAATGTCCAAGCTTTACTCAGCTGCTGCTCCCCATAGTGCTGCAGCGCCCCCCGCAGGAAGCACTCAGCCAGATGCAGCCTCCCCAGGCCAGCCTCCACGCACAGGATTGCCTGGTCCCTGTGGAGCTCCAGGGCCCGAGTGAAGTCCTCCAGAGCTGCTCCTTCTCTGGAACAGAGCACCAGGCTGCGACCTCGCCGACACAGGTCCTCCGCCCAGACTTGGGGGTCATCTGAGCAGCTGGGGTCGGATCCACCGTGTTTCTGAATAACTCGGTCTAGGTCAGCTATGGCCTGCTTGTGTAAACCCAGCTGAGCGAGGCAGGCAGCGCGCTGGCGAAGATACTGGAGTCTGTGACTGCCCACTGCTTGTACTGCTACAGTCAGGAGTGTGAGAGCCTGATCCCACTGGCCAGCTGATGACACACTGCTGGCCTCCTGTGCTGCTGCCTGTTACAATATAAATGCCGAACAATTAATATGCTATTTATAACTTAATAAATACTCCTTATTTACAATGCTTTAGCTGAATTATGGAAAGATGCTGTTTCCCTGTCTTGTAAGTACTGTAAAACAGTTTATTGATGTCATCATACATTATGCATACTTTTCCATACTTTTTCCATCTTCTCTGACCTTATTTTCCATTTCAAGCATATGAAATATGCATTGCGATATGTTTGGAGAGAACCTCCTAAACTGACTGAGGTTCCACTGCAGTTTTGTGCGATTTCATTTTGAGCTTATTTAGGTTTTTGGATATAACTTAGTTGGCATTGTGTTACATTAACAAAAAGTGCAGTGCAGTGCAGAGATGAAATCAGAATTTCATGGAGGTCAAATAAGAAAAGGGTTTCCACAGAATCACAGAGAATCTCTTCACTTTTATCACAGTGTGAACTGAAAAACAATCCATTTGATTCAATTTCATAATTTCATCAGTGAGTGAATTTATTTTACAATTGATTAAATATATAGTACATACAAAGTTTCATTTTACAGCCTTGTGATATTAGATTGAAAATATGATCATCTGTAATATAATAAACAGTTTTATTTCATTTTAAATTGATGCATTTATTCATTTGCAACACTCACAATTATACTGCACTGTTAATCTAACAGAAAAGATGTGGCACATTTTTTATCCCTGTAATGGAATTGTATCTGCAGCTTAATTATAAACCTAATTTGCTGATGATGGTAGAATTAAAAATGCTGCTTTTACCAGAACAAATCCTGTTGCCCATGGCACTTGTTCTTAAAGATGAAATCTAGGATTCCAGCACTGAACTTACCTGTGCCATGCGTTTTCGCTGACTGAATGGGATCAGGGCCAGCAAGAAGTCCAGACTTAACGGATCTTTCTCAGTCAGTTTGCTGAGCCTGCGAGCTGCGCTGCGGTAGTTCTGTTGCCAAGCCTCCACCACACCCACCCTGGCCTGGGCCACTGCATCTCTTGGATCCTGACCAAACACCTGGCAGAGATGAACGCTTGCAGCCTCAACTTCACCTGGAGCAGATGGACCACAACAGCAGGCATAAGGATCACTGTAAACAAGGAGTGCCTGCTTCAGTAGCTCTGTTTTATTTAGGTGGAAACACCATACAGCCTAAGCCATAATCTCTTAAACAGACCATTTCCAGTGACATCAAGTTCTCATCTCACCTTTGGCTAACAGTATGTCCACATAGAGGAGATGCCATCGGGGGTCTCTGCAGTCAGTCCTCATCAGAGCTCCACCGATTATAAAAGCCTCTCTGAGCTGTTCTTCGTGGCAGGGCACAGCATTAGTGACCAGGATGTCTGACAGATTGGTTCGACAGAACTGATGCAGCCAATCACCGACCAGCTTCCGTGCCTTGTCTTTGAGTGATAGGATGTCTTTGGTGACCATGTCAGTGTTTATCTGAAGTGCTGCCAAGATATCATGAGTGCATTCCTATAGCATAGAAAAAAGGGGCATTTGAATATTATATTTCTGTTGGACATACACATTTCCTTCAGTGGCAACAGACAATCTGATCCTGTCCTATCAGCCAAAATTCAACTATGTTTGTAAAAGAAAACAGCATGCCATATTCTGAGATCCTTTAAATCCCATTTGCCCAAACTTTTCGTAGTGTAGGGTAAGCGTGTTTTCTGCTCTACCAATATGAAATGATGCGTCTTTTGCCTCTTTTTCCTGCCCACGTCGGTCATTATAAGCATTATAGTGGCTGTTGCATGTCACTAAATATCATGACATCAAATTCAACTTTTTCAAGCCGGTACATTTCATTGTAAAGCTGCCTGGTGTAGCATAAAGTTTACAATTAAAATCTGCCGTAAGCTACAAAAGGCCCATTCTGGCAGTTTTTCAACTCAAGAATACCTGTTGTTGATTCAGCAGGAGATAGGTGAAGCCTCGTCCACAGAGGGCCTGAACATGTTTTGGGTGCTCCTTCAGAATGGCACTGAAATCAAAGATGGCAGTCTTTCGTTGGTTCAGCAGGGCATAACACCTCGCTCTTTCCAACAAGGAGTCTGCTGCCTCACCACCTTGAAGAGCACAATTAGTGGATTGGCTTTTATTACTTAGTTATACAGTAAAAAGCACATATCCAAATACACATAATAGTATGTATGTAAGTTATTGAAGCCAAATCTATAAACAGAGCTTGTGTTTTGACCCAATCTATTTCTTTATCCCTTTAATCATTCCCCCTTTCTAGATTAAAGTATGACCTGCTGTTAATTAAGTAACAACAATCAGAATTAGACCAGCAACAAACATCAAATATCAATCAGATTCTAATCACCAGATGCCATGATAGCGATGGAAAGATAAGCCACAGCCTCCCTGACAGCACTCTCCTCTCTCGTGCCTTCCAGGATGCGTTTTGCAGCAGAGTGGCAGTGTCCCCGCAAAAGTGCACGATCCTTCTGTTGTGCCACTGCTAACAGAGGACACAAGCAGCTGGTATCCCCACACTGAATGAGCTTTTTCAGAAGCTGCAGGAAAAAAATGGGCAGATATGAATTCTTTATCTATTTGACTGTAAAAGTTGTAAAGTTAAGGAACAAAGATATTAAGCTACCAGATACAGTTTGGTGTTGTTACTGCATTCCTTCAGAAGAATGTACACTATGAAAGACGTTGTTCAGTTGATTTTAGATTGAGACTACACTTATTGACAGTTTATGTATGATAATAAATTACTGTAAAACAAAATTGCAACAGCTCACCTACTACACTGGCCAAGCTATTAAAACCTAAAATTGATCTAATGGCTGATTGTTTAATGTTTTGATAGTGATCAGGCAATCCATACTTTCCCAATTTACCTTGGGCCCCAAAAGAATGTTTAATCTTAGAGGACTGTATATGATATTTAAACTAGAATCACTTCCTCGTGGTTGTCTGCCTCCTGCACTCAGACTAGTTTCAGGTTACATCCCTGTTTATCCAGAGTCATAGAAAATATAAACTATTTGGGTGAAATTCTGTCATAATTGCTGGGTGAAGTCTTGAGTAATGGCTAAAAAGTGTTTTCTGAGGTCACTGTGACCTTGACCTTTGAACTTTGACCACCAAAATCTACTCAGTTTGTCCTTGAGTCCTAGTGAATGTTTGTGCCAAATTTGGAGAAGTTCTGTCAGGGCGTATATCGTGTCCAGGAGAATGGGACGGACATACATACGTACGGACGTACACATGGACAGATAACCTGAAAACACGTCTGTCCATGTGCGTGTTCTATATTAATATATAGAACACATAAAATAAGAATAAAAATCTATATAATATACTGTATATACATCAGAAACAGCTTTAATCAGAAATATGGTGTGCAATTTAACAAAAAGGTTGGAGTGTAATAAGAACTTTGTAAAATGACAGTGTAAAATAAATGCAGCCAAAGAATCAACTTTGAAGAACTAATGGTGTCTGTGGACATCACTTCTGCCCTAAACCTACTATACATACCTGATTGGTGTCATAAAGAAAGCCTCTGTGCAGCTGCAGCAGGGCAAGGCGAGCCAGAATGGGGGCCCGAGGACTGGTGGGCCCGACAGAGAGCAGCAGCCGGTAGGCCTCCTCGACTCGGCCAAGCTGGTACAAAGCATCAGCTGCCAGGATCTGAGGCCCATCAGCACCTGGCTGGAGCTCCATTAGCAGCAGAGCCAGGGAGTGGACACCAGCAGGAGTCCTAATGCACAAACCAGCAAAAGGTGCTACATCAAGCAAATGTATTTAACTGAAAAAAAAATGAATGCAAACTTTCATTGGGACAGAATTCATAAACTGATATTTGTAGTTTTATTGAGATGTTAAGCACAGAACTAAATAAATCACCTGAGAAAGTTGCATAATAAACTTCAGATGTTTGACACATGACATATTAGTAGGAAAAGCACAGGTGTTACTAAGAAAATTAATGATAGCCGTGTCCCAGAAGTGTCACAGTCAGCTATGGCAGTGAGCCGGCATGAACAATACCAGGACCCTGAAACTGATTGAAATTCAGTCGTCTTTAACTCCATTATTTACACGAGTGCTTGTCCTGCCGTGATATGCCAACATATTTCCTGTCAAAAAGGCCTATTGAGTAAAATGCCTTAGAGACAAACATCATACCCTGATCTGTGGTTGTCTCTCTTTGACATGACATTCAGCTGATCCTCCTGCTGGAGATGCTGGGAGTCTTCAGTGGATCTGGACTTGGATTTGTGCTCTCCAGTCCCCTCCAGCATGACTCGTCCCTGCTCCAATAAAACAGTAAAGAGCAGCCCCCGGCAGTTCCATGGCACCAAGCAGCGAACAGTCAGTGCTGCTTCCTGAGGATGCAGCCTGCTGGCTGTCACATAGTCTAGAGCTGTGAGGTAGTTTAAGCCACCCATCATGCGCAGGAGCCCCCTGCCACACAGCGCCCGCACACAGCTGGAGGGATGAGGGGCATTGTGTTCAATCACAGCCTGGAAGTCTTCTAATGCCCCCTTGTGGTCGTCAGAGAGAAGTCTTGCATATCCACGAAGAACCTGCACTGTGTTTTGATAGCTCTGCTGACTTTGGGTGGCAGCTAGCTGGCTACAGATAGAGAGGGCCTCTTTGTGTTCCCCTCTGAGGAGAAGACAGTCAGCCAGTCGTACCCGCAGCTCTCTGCCTCCCCCGTCAGGCTCTAAAAGGCACAGGGTCCGTAACTGAGTGATCACAGGGTCCAACAGCTCAACTCCTTCTGTGGAACGCAGGTCTGGACGGAGGAGAACCCTCTCTCTGTAACCATACAGGCCCCTCTCTGCCTGCTGACGGAGATGGTTGCGAGCAGCCACCCCTGTACCATGATCTGTGAAGAGCTTTTGGAAATAAATTCTGGCAGTGGCAGGGTGGATCTCAAATGCCTCTCCCAGATCCCCACATGCCTCTGCAGTCCGTCCACCTGCTGAGAAGCAGGCAGCTGCTCGCCCGGTTAAGAGCCAAGCTCTCCTCTCAGGACTGTCTTGGAATGACTTGTCAGTACTACTCTCTGACATTTTCTGACAATGACCATGATGTAAGAGAGCAGAGTACACTTCTGCACTGTCCCCAAACCTGCCTGTCAAAAACATATGCACTGCTTGAAGTTCCTGTACTTTTCTATTACCGGGTGAGATAGCCAACAAAAACTCCATCATTAAAGCAGTAGCCTCTACACTAAGCTTATCATTCTCCTTTGTTGTCACTGCCCACTCACTGTCAAACATCAGAGAAGGATGCATGTGCATTATTTGGACAGTTAAGGCCTTCACTATTTTTGATAGGTGCTGAGCCTGTCTGGTCTTCACCAGCGTGACAATTTCAGATTTGTTTTTCTGGTAAGCTTTAAGGTAAAGCTTCAGGCCTTTAATAGTGTGGGGCTCTGCAAACAAGCAGGACAGAGCACGAGTTATCTCCAACACCATGCGAGAGAAACCTTCTGGAGGAGGGTTTCTCTTCCCTTCAAGCAGAGCAGTGCATCGAGCAAAAATCTCCTCGCAGCCATGCCCGCCACTCTGAAGAAGAGACTCCATTTTGAAAACGGTTGCTGTCAGATTGTTGGGGCAGAGTGTGGACAGAAACACAGCGGCCAGACCTTTATTAAAACCTTCAGCAGGCTGGTTCTCCCCATGACTGTCAAGCCAACCTTCTAGAGTAGAGATCACCCCAATCAGGCTGGACTTTTCCAATTTCCGCATGTGGGACACGGTGGAGGTGGCGTGAGTCCTGAAGGCAGACATGTAGAGGGAGGTAGCCCTCCCCAGCTCTCCGGCCTCAAGAAGCTTGTCTCCATCCTCACACAGCTCTGAAACTTTGACTCCAGGTTGAACCAGGGCACTCATGATCAGGCAGCTGGCTCTAGCGTCTGTTTTTCTCTCTTCACCTATTCACATGAAGAAAACACTGATGTCACCTGATGTTCAAAAACAATACATGAATTTCTCACAGCACACATTTTGACTTGTTACAATACGAAAAGCGCGGGTGTTACTAACAACAGTAACAATGGCTGATCTAGTCAAGTGTCTCAGTAAGCCATAACAGTATGAAGCAATACCAGGACGGTGAAACTCAAAAAGATAAAGGGAATTCAGCCATCACTGATTTTACTATTTACACCTATGCTTTTCCTACCATGAAAGTGGAAAAGTCACATGGGTGACGAAAAGCAAACATCCATCAGCTCCAGGATGCTGATATAGGAAAAATATAGCCTCGTGTGTGGGTTCAAAATTATTTTTAATGCTGATATTTGGTCATACTGGAACTGGTGTAAGTATTATACTGATGTAACACTCTATTTTGCAACTGTCTGAGAAACATTTTACTATGTTTGAAAGTCTTAACCTGCATAGCAACGTCATTACAAAATAATAAACACCAGGATCGTTAATTGTTACAGACATATATATCTGTGCACAAGTTTTAGGAGCATTTTAGATGTTTAGATTTTTATCACTCATGCAATACCATCTGGGTGGTGTAACAACAACAACAACAACAACAACAACAACAACAACCCCAAACTAACAGCCAGTCATACAGAACTATCTTCAAAGACAAGAAGAACAGGGAGTCTTGCAACAGATGGTCTGGAACCAACAGCCCTGATCACAACATCATCAGTCTGGGATTACATGAAGAGACAGAAGATACCGAGTCAGACTCAGAACTCAACTAAAGAAAACTAAAGGACTTCAAGTTACAGGATGCTTGAAACAACCTATGTACCAAGTACATAGAAAACCACAAGTGTACTGAGGATATTTGGTGCTGTTTTATTGGCAAAGGTTGGTCACACCAAATATTGATTTGATTTAGGTTTTATTTGTTTACTGCACGTGTATGAAGCTAACTCATAAATAAAAACTGTTCAGGGCATTGTTTTTGAAAGCATCATTGCTTTACTTTTAGCACCTAAAACAAGCAATTTAAAGTAGCAAACTTGGGAATATTGTGTCAAATTTAAGGACATTATTCTGAAGAAAAAATGTAGTGCACTGTTGTCACAAATAATGGGCATATGTCAGTGAAAAATAACTAGTACCGTCCAAGTTTGTAAAATAAATCGCTAATCTAATATTTAATATTTTTTTGCATTAAGTGAAAATGTGTTAGCCCCTGTTGTTGTGCGGCCCACGGTTCACCTACCTGCTCCTCTGGCTTTAGTTACCAACAGTTGAGCCAAAAAAAAGCTGAGCAAAACCCACCTAAATCCGTGACATTAAAAGTCTGCATAAGGAAACTAACTCACTGACACGGTGTCACTTCATTTTCTGTAAGTGAATTTCCCGAGAACAGAAAACCTGGGCCCCATTTTTGTAATTCAATAGCTGAGAGCTCAGAGTTGCCCGGACAACAGGGTCCGCTCATTCAACAAAAGCTGCAGCGGAGTTTTTTTCTATGTTACAGGTGGAAATACACAGAGGAATGGAGAGAGATACAACAAGATAAAAACAAACAAACCGTAACAAGCGTCACATATCGGTAAACCCCTTCCCGGCTCAGTCTCCTCTGTTGTCTGTACGGGACGGTCCCGGTGCGCGAGCAGTTGTTCTCTTGAGCACGGGTTCGGTTGCCAATGGCAACCACTAACGCTGGTGTTTATCGTTATTAGCTATTAGGCCTATTATCTGATGTTGTTTCAAACAGTGTTGTTCTAATATCACGTCAAATTTGGCTTTAAAATCTGTTTCTATCTCAGATGCTTGGTGCTTCTAGGAATACTGAAAGCGAGAAAAAGTTGTGAAAATGCTAGAATTGTTCATTTAAATACCCCACAAAACATTTTCCGATGTTGTAGGCTAAACAAAATTGTTGGTTAGACGCCACAAATATAGAAAAACATGTTGATTTTTTAATCGATATCTCCTATCAAACACTATCATGGAAAATCGTTTGAAATTGGAGACTGATTGAAAGTTCTACCCAAATGCTGCATTTGCGTACAATTGTAAAAATGAACACCACCATGGCCAATTGGCAGCATATCGCCACATTTTTGTACTATGCATAATAAATCATGCGTGTATGTATTTACACAGATGCTGTTATTGTATGTGTATAGGCTAAATATACTGCGAATATGATAAATATCTCTTTGTATGGGATCTATTCTTTTTCTATGCAGGGGAAATGGACAATGTAGGACAGCTGTTCTTTGTGCTGAAGAAGAATTTGCAATTCATGAGATTGGTCTAATCCTCCTCAAGAATAAAAGCTCCTCAAGCACCCTGCCTACATTTTCTTTGTATGGGTCCTGCGCTCAAAACTGCACACCAGCTGCAGCTGTTCAAACACTCAGCCAACACTCCCATCTTGTGGCCAAGAATTTTATTCATGACATACTGTATAATGATACTTTGACTCAGGCTCATACAGTTCCAGGTTACCATACATTTGTGCCATAGATGACTCCTGTGAGGATAAAACTCAAACCTGGCAGTTTAGTAACAAAATACGCAAGCATCCATAAGTAGTTTCAGAAAATTAAAAATAATTGTAAAATATATACACACGCATATGCCTCAAAGCCTAAAGCCAAAAACCACTGACCTAGATTCATATTAAAACATTCATTAATAAACTCCATTACTGGAAAGTCCAACTTCTTTACTGTCAGAAACTGAACTGACACAAAGATTCTCAAAGTGAGATACAACAACATCACAGGAGGAAACCATCAATTTGGATGGAATATATGTGGTGAGGAAAAACCCTGCCTACGGCACCTTGTCAGTATTTATTTGCAGGAAACTGAAAATCTGAACTCTTATGGGTGTTTTAGTTTTCTGCAGAACAAGAATCAGCAGCTGAGTTGTTATGTCAGACTTTCATGTCAAATGAGATGAAGGAGACGTTAATCTGTATATAATAATAATCTGTAGCAGTGCTGCTTAAACATCATAGATGTTTACTGAAATGTTCACACGCTTAAATACTCGAACTTAACAAGAGTCCTCGCTTTGACTAGTTAAAAAATATTAAAAAAGAGCACCATTTCTAGAGGTAAAAATAATGTCACTAGCACAATTCAAACAAGGATGTTTTCCTTCATCTTCAGGACCCTGGTAATCTTTCATATACAGTTACAGAGTTACATATATTTACATTCAAGCAGTGCACTCTAAAATCCCAGCCATCCACTCTTGGCCTTTAAGAGATGCCACACAAGAAGCTGAAGTTTAAGTGGTGTTTGACAGTATTAGTAGTTTTGACAGTATAGCTCATATATATATCTCATTCATTTTCTCTACCTATAGATTACTAGAGTCCTGCCTGATTATTCACAGGCACAATGCCTTTCTTCAAAATGCTACTGTTGTTGTCACATGCCTTTGAGGAAGCTATTTGATGATCCAACCAGTTCTGCAGTTGACTGCACTGCAACAAATACATTATTTTTATATACATACTACATTTTAAGTGTCAATCTGCATGTAAAATGAATCTCAATTCAATAAAGAGTTGTGTTTTATTCTACGAGGGAAAACATATTTAACACTTATCTGATGTTATCCGTTAAAAGAAGTGGGAAAAGAGGAAATACTCCAATTGCAGTTGGACCTCTCAGGATCTTCACAGTGCTCCATAATGCCATTTAACTCTTAGTTAGATTCTAATATACAGTACATTTAAATTACTCAATATGGAACTTTCATTACATTTCAGTTTTCTGTGCTTGTACCATGTAGTAGCTACAGTTAGTAATGTCCTTTCAAGGAACTTGAAGTTTCTAGTCTTATGCACTGGTGTCCAGGCTTGAGGCACTGATGTCTTGCATTGTCTAATAGCTGATATTTATGCCTCCCGGTGCAGCCTCAGGTGTTCTGCGTTGACGCACTGAAATCTCTGCAGGCTGTGAAACCTTGCTTCTGCTGAGGCCTCCACTGCAGCTTCTCCAGGCTCTCCTGCAGCAGCTGGGCACAGCCAGATAAATCCATGTAGTGCAAGGCCGAGAAGACATCGTCCAAACTCGCAGAGGAGCGCTGGCTCCACAGCCTCAGCATCTGGTACTGCCTCTCTATGGAGCCCAGTCCCAAACCAGCTTCCAGCTCCACCCGCTCCAGCTGCTGATCAGCCACTGAGAGCAGACGCAAGAACTCCTTCCATCTACGCAAGGGCACCTCCTTGATAATCGCATAGAGGACAATGGCCGGCCAATGCTCTGATTGCTCATCTTGTTTGGCAACTGGAAGGAGAGATTCACAGATGATCAGAGGACACTGACCATGCAAAAACAAAGACTCTGCTGGGAGATATGGTTAGCTGCAGGTGTGTTATCTGTCCAATGTGCTACTGTTTAATTTGGATACATTTTTTGTGCTTTGTAATGTCTCAAGTTTCCCCTTTTGTTATTCAATGCACAGCTCTGTCCTGCAGAATATTATGTTTTTTGGTTTGTTTCTCAAGATAAACTAAAGGTCAGTAAGCTCCAGAAACTGTGCAGAGGCATTTCAGCCAACCACGTTTTTTTCAGAAATGAAAGTATATATTTGTGAGCTGTTTTTTTTAAGATTGTGGAATACTACCAAATTGTGGATTTTTGGCTCTTCCATGGGGTTTGTTGACATTAAAGGTGCTATATGTGAGTTTTCTCTGCCGCTGAATGTGATTGCCTGCCAAGAGCTTCAGCCATCATTGCATTAACGACAAGAGGCTAGAATATGCCATCTGGGCAGCACCACTTCATCATCCTATCATGCTTAAATGAGCCCTTACTGGATGCTGCAGTGACTCACTATCACAAAACAGCTTTATGAGGCTAGCTGGTTACCATTCTAACTTCAGTAGAAGATAATAAGTGATAGAAATAGAAGCAAAACAAGAGTTAACATTGGTGTTTCTTTCCAATGCTGGAGACAGCTCTTGGCTAGTAAAGGATGTAATACCAGTTTCATGTTTCCTCTCGACTGGTAGGTAAACAGCTGTTATAAAGCACCTCTAAGGACAATAGGCCTATAGGAGATTCACAGCTTTATCCTCCAATGATTTTTTGGTGGGGATTTTTAAACAGGACAAGGAACACTGAATTATGCAGGGGAAAAACAGCTGCTGCTCTGCTACATGTGGAAAGATTCAAGATTCTTAACTGCCTTTTTGTACATGTGGTATTTGGAAAATGTTTCTCACTCTGCATAAAAAACATATTGTAAAACATCCACCATCCCCAACTTATGAAAGGAACTAAGAGCATAATCCTCACCACAACACAACAAAATGCACAAAACCAACAGCACAACAACCAGAAGGGGGTTTTCAGTTCAACCACAGACACAGCAACATGATCACTAATGACAAGAACGTTGTATTGAAGGTCATCCTAAAAGCTGTAATGAAGGATGTTTTTTAACTGAAGTTTGGCTCGCAACAAATGGTGTTTTACCAGGCAGTAACGAGTTCAAGCCATAATATCCTGAGCGAATCTGTTTTAACCCTTGTGTGGTGTTCGGGTCTGTGGGACCCGTTTTCATTTTTTATCAAAAGAAATATTATATGATTAAGTATTTTTTCAAACCCAGACTCATTGGCCTTGGCTCATTTTCTGTGAAGAATATTTATCAGAACACATTTTCAATGACCACAAATTGTACACCCCCCTACACATTTTATATTAACCATACAAGTATATGCTGTTTACTGTATATTGCTTGTAATTGGGATGAAGTAAACATCTGTTAAGTATTTCAACAGAAAATTGTTTGATTGTGTTGAATTAAACCCCAACAAATGCAGCGGGTCCACCAGACCCGCCAACACTGGCTGAGTAACAAAAATATGAACATCACACAAGGGTTAAATGTAGGAAACTAACCAAGTCTTATGGATTCTGAGAAAATAAGCAAATAAAAGGTAAAAAAAAAAAGCAGTGGAAAAATGTATGTGGCTTTATCAGCCTTTCACACTCCATCATCTATAAATAACATCTGAATGGGTGTGGATTTTGATTTCACAAGAGCTAAAAATGTATGAGGATAAATTATTCACAGTCAACAGTGACATGCACTCTCTATCTGATTTGTCATTTCCCCAAATGTCAAATTGCTGACTGACGTGAAAAGTGAGGGCGACCTGTTTCCCAGTTTCCACCTCCACCCTGTGGTCCACAGGGCTGATCAGAGATAAATAGTTGCTGAACAAGCAAAGATGAAAAGGCTGCTGTTCTGAGTGTGAAAACACCACAGCATTTGATAGTACACTACACTAGCAAATACATGAGGCTAAGTATAACCATGGCATTTTTCTACCATTTTTCTTCACAAAACATTTGGCAATCGTGATGTCACCTTTTAACCAGACGACCAGACTATCATACAAGCTCAAGTCTTTGTGTATGCATGCACCCCTACATGCAAATGTAATATATGCACATATAAGATAAAAAAATATATGTAAAAATTATATATGAAACCTATTAGAAATTGGAACGATTTCATATATTGACATATATGTCTGGCCCACATAAATATGTATGTTTGTGTATATATACATACTATACATATGTTGATATTATAAACAATAGGGTCCAAAAGCCTGAGACATATTTAACATTAGTAAGAAATTTATAAGAAAAACATATATAAACATATAGATTTTTATATTCATGCTGTTTTAATAAAGTTGTATACATAAATTAAATGAAAATCATTAACGTATATGGTCACAACATGCAACACATTTTTTAATATATGTACATGTGCAAATTTTACTATTGGTAATTCATATATGTTATAAATGTATATCTTCATATATTTCAGAGGATGTATATATGTGCTAGTAATATAAGTGACATCTATGGCAACATCGCTCTTGATATAGGGACATACATGTCATATATTACATTTCTGTATGGGCCCCCTCTACTGAAGCATCCTTAAACAAGGCACTAAATCCTGCACAGGTGATTTTAGAAAGTAGGCCTATTCTTAAAGGGGCTCTTGTGAAAGAATTTACCAACTGTCAATTCATACTCCAAACAAATAAGGGGCGGTATATTACCAGAAACTTGGGGTGTCCACCCCTGTCGTAAGAAACAAGGTACCAGGACTGGGCTCACTGGCCAATCACAACCAAGTTTCAACACTCACCTTCACGGTAAGATAATAACACTACGAGACAGGACAGGCCAGGGCTGGCTGGTTAGCATGCTAACTTCAGTATATATCTCTGCAACACAATAAATTGACGTATTTGACATAACATCAAAACTATTATGGCTTCACATTTTGTTGATAATAAAATTTTTTAATGTTTTAAACTTATATATTGCCCCTTTAAACAAAGATTGATGTGAAGTTTATTTAAACATGAGAGTAAAGAGTTTATAATATGTTTTCACAAACAGATTCTTCAGCTTCTCTCATTCAGTTGCCAAAACATCACAACTATTATTAGGAAGAATGAATGGCTTCAGGGGAGAACCTATAAAAGCTAAAAACACTGTTCCATAAAACACTATTTCATGTATAAATAAAAATAATTTCATGAGAAATGCAGTGGAATTTGTTCTTGTGCTCATGTTGTTTTTACGTTTTTCAAGTGACCCAGTGGGAGTCAAATGTGGCCTCATACATTTAAGTGAATTATTCCCAAAACAAATGTATCCACTCATTCTCACATTTCTCGATTTGTTAATGAACTTGTTGAACTCTATGAATGCATACCATGACTTTCACTATTTATTATTTCATTAAGAAAACATCTTTTTGGATCATAAAGTGATACATGCTTTCCTTTTCTATTATTATTCTATGACTAGATCAACATTATTGTTAGTAGTAGTATGAGATGTAGAAGCAGTTGTGGCAGTAGTATTAGCAGTAGAGATGACCTCTGATTGCCCATTATAAAGGGTGAAGGGGAAAACAAAATAGTGCAGCTATCAACCATCACATATATCTAGTGCAAGTTAGTTTGCAAATATGATTAAAAAAAAATAGATGCAATCCCCTATTTGAACTTGCCATACCTCATTTACTTCAAGTGCAATGCAAGCTTCAGCTGAACATCTTTAACTTTGTATCACAGCTCTGGTTTTGGTTGATATGCTGACGGTTTGAGATAGATATCACATCGAAAGTCCCCATTTATGATCCTCCCACCAGCTGCACCAGTGTTGCAAAGAAACATTGTCAAACTCATGTATTGAACAACAAGTTGAACCAGGGCAATGTATTGTGGTTGGGGATCAAATACTGAAACTTACCTTTGTGTAGAGTGTTAGGACTGATGTTGGCTGGATGTTGTGGTGTGGCTGGACTGTAATTGAGATGCATCATGGGAGTTTCCTCAGATATGTTAATTGTCTTGAAAGGACAAAGAAAAAGAGGAGGTAAATGTGTTCTTTAAAATGTTAGAAAGTAATGAGTGAAATTCTTCCCTCTGACTGTCCACCTACAGTACTGCTACAAGCTAGATCTCTATCAAAAGAACGTAAAGTGCATGAAAGTTAACACAAACCAGCGTGGTCGGGCTGCTGTCTTGATGACTGCGATGTTCTGTTTAAGAGAAAAGCAGATGTTATCAGTAAGCTTCCTGTTTGAACACATTCAGTCGAGAAAGTACAAAAAAAGAAACTTGGTCACATTTTTTTTTTTTTTTTTTTGATTTTTCTGGTTTGTTTAATACTGGAAAGATTATGTCTTGAACTCACATTTGATGCAAACAATTGTGAATCATACAAGTTTATCTATACCACTGTGCTGTGTGTCAAAAAAACGCATCTAGTATTTTTATGAAGTTAAAGTTAGTTAGTTAGTTAGTTAGTTAGTTAGTAAGCTAATCATATGTTTAATTTAAAATATCAATCTCTAAAGTAACTTTTAACTTAAGTTTTCATATGAATGTAATAGAGTAAAAAGTGCCTCTGAAATGAGGTGCAAGGTGCATACTATAAAAGTAAAGTAAGAGTACATCAAAATTCTACCTAAGCACAGTACTTGAGTAAATGTACTTATTTACACTGGTTACCTTTGAGTTTGGGGTCCTTGGCATGTGGCTTCACGCCTTTATTTGTGCTCCAGTAGGGACAGCTTTTTCGGTGTGTCCAGATGAAGAGCAGCACGAAACAAAAGAGCACCACAAATATCAGCATAACCACAAGAAACCGCCAGAGCGAATTCTTCAATGCTGCGGACACAAAGAAACACTTGACGTAAGTCCACAACTCATCAAGTCTGACATACAGGAATTTCTGTCAGAAAACATGCGATGATGAAAATATGAATGATAACCAGATAACCACTCAAAAAGGTGAAACAATCTGGCTCTGCAAATTTTACTGAAATAACCACAGCAAGAGTGAACCAATGAGTCCAGTGAGTTTTTCTGTCACTTCACTTGTTAAAGTAGAGTAAATAGTTGAAACTAACTCTCAGGTCCAAGTGTAATCACAACAGGATTCAATGTACTGTTTGAACGAGTGGTCACATGTGTAGTTGATTTAGTTGTAGATTTTGGAGGTGGAACTGTAGTTGGTGTACATTTCCTCTTGCATTCTGAGTTACTCAGACACTCCGTCCTGAAAAAAGGAGAGACTAATGTAGACAACAGTGGAATCGCACAACATATTCATTATTAAATGTTATGTACAACTTTTAAAGTCTTAAAACAATAGTCACCTGACCATATGAACACTGAAACAGTTTTTGTAATCATTCCTTGTGCATATTGGCCATTAAAAGATCCTCTTCTAATGTGATGGGGGACAAAATACACAGTCCTTGCCTTGTGTAAAAATACATTCCCAAGTTGATTGTTGTTGAAGCTAATTAGGTTTTAGCATTCTGAGTTTGTCTAGGTTGATACCTTCAAAAGTTACAGTCTTTTTAGTATAAAATTCCCTCACTGTGTTTGCCTGGACAGTGTCTGCCTATAGGATACTATAATAATACAGAGTGATGTTCGTACTGAAACAACAGCAACTCTGATTTGATTTGCCTAACTTGGATGGCTGAAGCCCCACATTAGCTTCAGATAAACTTCTGAGTACACAGAAAGACGACTCCATTGCTTACATTGAAATCCCATTAGAGAGGATTCAGCAGCCGGTATGAATAGAGGAAGTGGTTAAACCAAGCAAAAACTGGTTCATTGTTCATATGGATACAGTTTCAATATTTTATTAGTACTACTACACTAACAGTTCTAACAAAACTGCCTTTGTGTTGAGACGTTTACAATCCACAGCCAAACTGTTCAGCACAGTTGGTGCAGGGCCTCAGCAAAACCACAGAGATTTCCCTTCCTCAAGCAATGAGTCAAATGCATCCTGACCTTGAATCATATCATGCTTGTGTTGATCTTTTTAGATCAATGCTAAAAAACAGGTTTATTATGTGTATGAAAATGTCTTCAAATGTCTTGTTTGTGCACCCAACAGTCAAAAACCCAAAGAATTTTATACATGAAAGAAGAAAAATCTTAACATTTGGAGTGTCTTAAACTCCTTACACAAGTGATTATTGTAGATTAATTACTATTTTTTGTCAATTGACCAATAGATTATAATTTTTTAGGGTTAGTTTCAACTTCACAGAGGTTTCCTTCAGACTTAGTCAAGTAAACATCTCAGAGAAGGCGTTACACAAACACACTCATTGCTCTGGTTGTAATCTGCATAATTAAAGTCAAGCTCTTAATTGAAAAGAGCCTTCTCCACAGATAGAAAAAACAAAGAAATGAATGTCAACAACGCACTGTAACTGAAAAGTGCCACATTTAATACATTGAGGAAAAGACCCTCCCCCACTCTCCTCTCTGTCACAGCAAATAAAATAAAAACAACATTAGTTTTCATCTATCATATTGTAAGACCTCCCACCTTTGGCAGGGCTGGCACTTCTTTTTAAAGTCAGGACTATCAAGAGGCTCTGAAAAAAATATGAATATGAACATTGATGAGAACTCTATATGGCTCCCTTCTGAATCTGAATCAGAAAGAAAATCTCCACAGGGATCAGTTACAATTACTCAACACTCAGTTACGAAAGAGGAAGTAAATAAGTAAGAACTACTATAAAACTATGATAAAATAGTAAAATAATAATAAATCCAGAGTAAGTGAATAGCAGAAAAAAGTCAGAAGTAATGTATAAGGTAGATTCACAGCATGGGCAAAAGTGCAAAAAATTAAATCAACCATAATATGCAAAGGTAAACTGAATGAAAAGTGTAAGGTTAGTATAATTTATTTAACAGTACACTGACAGTAGTTTAACAGCAGGGTGCTGATGGAGATTGCTGATGCAAAATTGGGAGGAATTTTATTGAGTATTCATATTAAATTAAATAACCCAGTATATGAATTGATATGGCAGCTGTGAATACCAATCGAACACTTTCACTCCCTATGAGTCCACCTACCTTGACAATTTTGACATGGGCATTTCACGCAGAACCTTGACGATTGATCACGGTGTGCATTGTAGTATCCTGGTATACAATCACATTTCGTATTACTAGTGATGGAGCAGGGCTTTATCATTACCTCATTACCTGTGTAAAAATCAAAATACAGTGCTTCTGTCAGAGCATTTACACACAGTAAGGCTGTACAGGAAAGCTGGGAAAGTATGACTAAAGGGTTATTTTCATAAATTTTCATATTGCTTCAGTCTGTTCATGGCTTATCTTTTAATTCTAGCAACCCTGTTCAAGGACAGAATGAGGTCCCATTCAACTTGATATTAACCTGATATTAACATCACTTTTTTGTACATAATATCTGTATCTATCACTCAACCCAAGTAATGGAATTTGAACAGAATACTTACGATTACATACGTCACACCTGAAGCATTTCTCTATTTTGTTTTCCATATCTGTGAATGTGTTATTCTCACATTCTTTACATTTGTATTTTCCATCTTGGTTATCACAGTTACCAGTTTTATGATATCCTAGAAAACAGTGGAGACAAGGAGAAAGGGAAATAGTCAACATGCAATACTTTCACTATAATTGTATGACACAAGGCCAATTTATACAGTTCCTTCCTCTAACTTACCAGCTGGGCAAGATTTATAACATGAATTACTGGTTTGTTCTGTCACCTTAGTGTAACTGTGTCCACCGGAAAAGAAGGCAAGTATCAGTGGGTAAACCTGGAACACAAGACGAGGTTTGATGATCTGAGGTAGTGTGGAAAGGAAGACACTTACAACTGGCATGACACTTTGACACTACAGCTGCCATAAAGACAGACAGTAACTAATCAAGTCACTACTCAGGAATTTTTTGCTTCTTAATTTTCATATACTTTCATTATCAAGTATAATCAATCTTTTTTTTTTTTTTGAATTTCCAGATTCTAAATCGAATGAACACCTGTCTGTTTGCCAGATCTTATAAAACCTTCTAGCTGAGATGTATTGTACAATTTAGCTCTATGAGTTTTCTTTTCCTCCATATGAGGAGGATCAAGCAGGCAGTAAAAATAAGGCCACAGCCGCAGTTTACTTAGCAATGATCTTGAACTTCTCCAGGACCGCCCTGAATGTGACCATCAGAGGGATGAATACAGTACCACATATATTTGAAAGGGGGTCAAAATCCTCCATCCAATCATATAGCTGTGCCCGCCCAGATCAAACTTGCATCTTAAGCAATTCTTATTCACTCCTGAGAAAACCTTTGCCAATTTGCTGCTGCTCAGATGGAGCCTGTGGAGTGCTCCAACTGTAGAAGTCCAAGCCTGATGCATATTGATGAGGAATGGACCAGACCGACTGCTAACTGCCAAGACACCTCTAACATTTGTGAAGCCATCTCCGCTTCCCAGTATATTCCCTGTATAAAATAGAAACTTAACACTTTTCTAGTGGTTCAATTTCCAAAGAGAAGAAGAAGAGATGTAGGCTATGTCTGTGCTAGCTTTAAAAACCTTCTAGGTCACATCTTTTCTAACTCACACTTGTAACGCTGAGTCAACGAGGGAAGCAGGGGACAAGAGAATTACAAAAAAGGATTGTTCACAATCTAAATGAATCCTAAACTGGCCCCATATCATAAGAGCCCCACAGACAACAGGGGTATTTGTAAAAAGGTGTTTGCTCAGAGGCAGAGGGGCAGGGCTGTTTGCCCATGGAGGAGATTCTCCTGGATTTAAAACACCAGATTATGGATTATTTGGCAAAGCCGAGCCTCCATACTTCCTCTGCCTTTTTACCGTCTTTTATTCCAAATGTATGTAGATATCTTGTTCAGCTTTATACAGAGTTGAAATGCTTAGTTGATAAATTAGTCATTTTTAGTCATTTTTGCGATGTGCTGATATTCTACAGACCAAACAATAAATCAAGAAAATAATCAGTAGATTAAACAGAAATGTAAATAACTAGGTAGTTGCAGCTCTAGTAAATTTGTTAGGTTATTAAACACCACTCATCCACATATAACTTAATGTCTCCTGTGATCAGAACTTCAACCTTGATGTTTTGCAGCAACTGATAAGAAGCAACATGTTCAACATGTTCACCTAATACCACCACAGTGAGACTATACAGAACATACTGTATGTAGTGTACATCTCTCTGACAGCACTCAACTCAGTTTGTACATCTACCCCTGAAGTCACAGGGGAAGTCACTAATGTGATTCACGGCTGCCCAGGAAGGGAGAAGTTTTAATCGTCCTTATCTAGCAAATAATGAAACATTCTGTGTGTATTTGGTCTCTTTGGCGGTAACAGCAGCACTGTGACAACATTTCCTGTATCAATGACTGACGATGATCTAAAATTCACTTAGAGAAACGAACTTGAAATAGTGAAATAGAGCACGCAGATGGTTCAATCAAAACAACTGCACTGGATTACTTACCAAGACAAAGTCCATGTTGGAAGAGTAGACAGTGAGGAAGTCAAACAATCTGCAGTTATCACCAGGAGAGGATAGCACTAAATTCACCAACAGGATGAGGCATTCTGACGTTAGGTCTTCTGTAGATTTCCTCTGAAGCTGAGTCAAATAACTGTTTGTGTGTGTGTTTGTGGTTCAGAGTTGTCAGTTCTTTGGAGTCTTCAGAGAAATGGTGCCAGAAACAGGAACAACAGTGAGATCACTGCCCCGTCCCCCACCCTTCCCCAAAATCCTCCCACACTGTGACGTGAAGATCGATGGCAACGTCAGACTTCCCTCTGATTGTTTCCTATACTTTGACCAAACCTCTGTGATGATAATGACTGGTGACATACACGGAAACCACTCATGAGCCAGACACAGCAGTTTTATGTAGGTGGTGGCGGTGTGTGTGAAGGGAATGCAGGCACTCTTTGGATATCTTGGGCACATTAGTGGCTTCAGTGCATCTCCTCATAAGAAAGACTGAAACCAAAGCTACAAATGTAGATAAGACAGGTCCCAGAGTTAGGATCGATCAAATGCAGTAAACTCACTCCCTGATTAGTGGGATGAATATTGATTATAAAAATATATCAAATCAAACATGAAAGTCTACTGACAGCCTTTGAACACACACACATAGAAATTAGTGGACATGCTTCAAAAACTGCAGTGTGTGTGATAACTTATACGTAACCAATCGAGATAATCACTTATATCTAAATAATATGTGTAACAACAGGCTGAATGAATCATTTACTGAGTATGAATCACTTAGTCTCCAATGGATATCTAAACTCTGAACTAGAATTTGTGATTGGGGCTCATTTTTTTATCGGTTTTCCACAAAAAGTTGACTGAAATCAGTTTCAATCAACTTGATTTTCTTTTCTAGAGTAAAATCACATGATCTTGATACAAAAATCCTCTTTTGAAACTCAAATTGTGCTGAACGTTGGAATTATGTCAAGACCTGAGAAGTAGAAGTAGATTCTGACACTGCTGACATGGTATGGGATACTGACGAGATGTACCATACTAACGACAGGAAGCAAAATAAATAACTTTAACAAAGGTAAAACTTTCTTCAATAAGATGTAGTAAGAACCGATTTGGTTGGAGATCAAAAGGCATCAAAACATCAAAGCTAAAATTGGCCTGAATGTGGTTGAAAAGAAAATATTTTTTGATGTCCAAGCTACTCACAACTATGATTTCAACATTGTTTCAATGACAACATGTAAATCAATGATGTATAATCAAGTCATAATTACACATTCTAATACTCCCACTTTACAGTGAAATATGCTTATTGAAATACTGTTGAAACATCTGTGAAGGTTTATTTCAACCATGTGTGGACACAATGGTTATACATACTCTATGTAACCTAAGCTCTCTCTCTCTGTTTATGCATCTTTAAATATAATTTATACTCATTTGAACATGACACAGATGTATTCGCCTGTTTTTTAAGTATTTGAGTATTTTCTCCTTGACATCCTGGTATGAAGCCAGTCTGCTCAGGGTTGATTAAATCAAAGTTAAATAAGCCTACCTCTGCAGCCTCTCCACCAATATACAACTAAGAATTATAGCATCATTCACGAGCAGGTTGATTGGTCTATAGGAGTCACTGCTCTTTTCTTCTTGATGAATGACTGATAGCAGAGCCTCTGACCAGCTCTTGGGTGCATGGGTCATTTCCATAGAAGGAATAGTTGAAGAAAAAATTAAAGTGGACATGGCCTCACAAAGGACTTCGCCAAATTTGCCAGGTATCTCATCTGTGCAAGGGGACATTATTTTTTAAGGATTTGATGGTTTCTTCTATTTATCTTTATGAAACTGGGGATCATCAAAGTCTCTTTTAAAAGACTCAATGAGACTTTATTTACCTATAGGACTTGTTAAATGAAGGTAAATCTGCAAAAGATGAAAGATACTGGGGAGTTAGATATTGCTTTTGGTTCTTCACTTTACATACAGGTGCATTTAAGTTTTCGGGCACCATCTTCTTTTCCTTGACTATGCATTTTAGAAACAGCCAAATGTAGTTTTACCTCCAGATTTATCTGACTGGGAAGAAGAAGATTTCACATATAAAACATGGTAACGAACGATAACATGATAAGGTAATGATAACGTTATAACGAGATCATTAAGATATAATTATATGAAGGTTAAAATGCACTTTCAGCAGCTTCAGCTACATAACTTTTGTTATTTGGGTACATTTAGTATTTATTTACTTAGGTGAAATTTTGAACGCAGTACTTTTCGTTGTAATGAAGTATTTGTACATTGTGCTACTGCTCTTTGGTGATTTTTTTGAGTATATTCCTGCGGATTTGTCCGCTAAATCCACCCAAAACTGCGCTGAAGAACCGTGAATACATTCATCAGAAATGCGGTGTCCATTAAAATGTGAATAAAGTAGGTCATCTTATAAAAATCCAAAGCAACATTAGCAGAACATTTCCCTGTGTGTCTGTACTGTGTTGAGCCTGCAGCAGCACCCAGAAGTGAACAAAGCGACCCGGAAGCGGTGGTCCGACTGGAGGCAGGCAGAAAGAACATCAACCTTTTATATTATAGCTGTACTCGCAAGACAATATCTGCAATCAGGACACAAGGTATTTGTGCATGTCTTTTCGTGTCTTCACTGCTGTGCATTTCTGTGATAAGCGATAGACTCCCAAATGCGTGCATGGTGCACATTGTGCAATTGCTGTCCTTTGATTCGTTCAAAAGTTGCAGAATGTGAAAAAAAGCAGCCCTAAAAGTGAAATTTGGTGAAGATGGCACAGCGTGTCGCGGGGGACGAGGCATTGTGCGCCGGCTGTGTTTTGACCTTAACGCATCGCTACGGTTGTTTTAGTCGATGTGGTGTTTGGGTCGAGCCTTGCATCTTGTCCGTTTCCGTGCTGTTTTTTGCAGGGCATGGTTGTTGTAGGAAGTGTCAGTTTTTTTAAGAGGTGGGGAGGCCGGGCTATTCAAACCTGCAATTCGCCGTAAACAATCATTCATGCCTTTGACATGATAAACACACCTTTGTGTCTGCGTCGGCCGCTTCTTCTCCCCCAGCACCCTCCTCACGACAACATGTTCATGCTCCTAAATTTTTGGGGTCTGCAGAATATGGCGTCCCGCCTTATAAAAATAAGGCTGCCATTTTTGTTTCTCTTTTGTCTGGAAATGTTTTAAGAAAACTGTCTGAGAATGTCTGAGTCGCACCGGGAGGCTCGGTCCGTACAATCCTCCATCAGTGTGAGTCCTGAGGTGCTCTCAGACACACGACATGTCCGAAAAGTCAAAGAATGGAAAGTTTTTTTTTTCTTTGCGTTTATCTGAACATTTAAAGCGACGTGCACTTATTTTCAGGAATTCACTCTCAGACAAAAGGATCACAGGGGCTAAATGTTCAAACTGAACGGCTCTGGCTCTGTCAGACTACTGTGTATTTGCGAGTGACAAAATATTTATAGGCGACATTTATGTGTTTGACCTGTGTGAAGTTAAAGGTGATAGTTTGGCTCATTTACACTGTAGGCCTAATTTACAGCAGAAATCACTGTCAAAACATGAGCTTTGACCTCAGTGACAGCCATCAGTTTATGACTTTACTACGTTTTTAATTCATTAGATAATTTTATCTTCAAGGTGACTGCATGTCCTTAAAACTCTTTAAAATATCTTAAATACAGTTTTTAAAAGGTCCACTTACTGTATTTTTCACTCGCTTGCCACAGTCTTCCTCAGTGGATGGAGTTTGATCATGACAGCTGAGCCATTTCCATGATAACTGAGCATCTGTTGAGCAAGACCATGAAATGTGGATGAAAGCCCCAAAAACTTGATGAGTGAACCTTGAGATACAACTATATGTTTCCAAGTTAAATCCAGTTTTACACATTTTCAGATACCAGCCTAAAAGAAACAAAATTGTCATAACTTGGTTTTGTTTTGGTTTTTGTTTTGTTTTTTTTGTTTGTTTTTTTGTCAATACATCTGCTGTGAAAAGATCTTCTCTAGATTAACCAAACCTTTTTACTTACCGGTCATAAAAATTGCAAAATAATCTTGGTATTTGTCCTAAAGGAAAGTAGAAATAGGAACAGATATTTATTAATGCAAGCCCTTTAAAAGTGTTAATAACATTTATGTTTGAAATCCTCCAGTTCCTGCACAATGCATCCCAAAATCTGTCTTAAATACATTTATTTTTGGTCTTATGAAGGTCTTCGATTTTCAAACTCGCTGATATCTGCAGACATCCTCGTAAGAAGAGTTTCTTATCAAAGTCTCTCCACACTGGATAAGTGGAGCAGCTTGAGTTTAGTACTAAATTGTGCTTAATGCTTTAAAATGTTGTGACCAAGTACGGAAGTGCATGCACAGCTAGACGAAGGTGAATAAGATAGGAACTAATTAAACATGTATGCTCAGCCTTTCTAGTACACATGAAACCCGTTAGTGGTTAGCGTGTCATAATTTTCATCTTTATAGTTCCTGTCTGGCAATTGGTTACATTCACACTCTTTGCCGACAGGTTTTGATTAGATTATTTAAACAAGTTGAAAAACCGTGTTTTGCATCACAAACCACACTGTGACACTGTAACACCACATTAAATATCACCTGACTTTTGAATGTGACTATAGTAAATGTTGTTCATTTCAGGATGGCAGAGCCTCGATTTAACAACCCGTATTTCTGGCCGCCCCCTCCATCCATGCCAGGCCAGGTAAGTCCCCTTGTAACATGTAACAACGGTGATGTTTCCGCTTTTCATTGCCATTTGTTTCCATGTGTGAATGTCTTTTCAGCCATTCAGCACCAGTGCGTCACTGAAACAAACTCTCAGACAGAGGATCTGTCCCAGTTCCCTCCCGTCGATTTAAAAATAAAATTACACTTGTACTATGTGCTGGTCACTGTTTTCTGTCCTGGGATGTGTTTTTGGGACATGAATGACATTCACACATGGTGGCTGTTTTCTGTTGAGCATGACCCGTTAACCCTTTCAGCTGGATAACCTGGTGCTCATTAACAAGATCAAGGAGCAGCTGATGGCCGAGAAGATCCGACCCCTGCACCTGCCGCCTACCTCCACCCCTTCCCAGCAGTCTCTGCTGGTGCCCACCTCATCCCCAGATGGTAGCGCACAGCACGGGATGCCAGTGCCAAAGCCCCAGCCGCAGCAGGTGCCGGGCCACCACCCGCAGCCACAGGGCTCTGGACAGCCGGACATCGCTCTGCACGCCCGCCCCGCCTCCAGCTCCGGACCAGGTAGTCTTCATGGTCTGTAGGCCTTGGTACAATTCATTTGTAAATACAGACCCAAATGTGTCACTAGCATCAACTATCGAGAACTCTCAAGTATCAAAAGTTGCCATTGCGTGATTTGTGAGATTTTTTTTTAGTCTTGCTTATTCTTTCTATTCTTTGATCAGATATTTCATGTTTATATCAGGAAACTTTGCTATTTTTAGACAGTGTTTTATCCAGGAAAAGTCCCTGTATGGCTGTCTTTATCAAGACAACATTAAACACTAATGCACTGAGGAGTTTGGATTATTCTGTTGAATGAAAAAAAAGGTTTCGTGAGGTAAAGAAACTAAATAAATGTATAGGTAGGGTAGGTCTGGTGCAGCAAAACAGACAATAAGGTTGCGAGGGTCTCCGTCGACTACAGTTGTCGACCTCACATTGTGCGCTATTCTGCACAATTGAAGTTTGTCTATATCAAGACACGGTCACCTGTTCTCCGATTAAAATGCCATCACCTGACAACTTTCAGATGGAAATATGGACGACAAGTCAGCAGTGAAGGCCAAAGGATTGTGGGAAGACTGGCACATGAGACAGCTTGGCGAGCAACCAGGCCGGGTCAACCATCGCTCAGGTACTGCAGTCAGTTATTAATATAAACTGTATGTAGGACATTGTCACATTAGATTGGGATACACTGACACACACAGGTACAATGAAGGATGTACAATAGCTGGAAAATAAGACGAGTACATTTACTGTACTAACAGTCAGTGTTCAGTGTACAGCAAACTGCTATGGTACTTATTATATCATTAGTTAGTTGAAATATTTTTGAAAACAATACTTGATGCTTAAAGTGGAGAGACTGTGTATTGTGATGGATGAATGGTCAAATGTTTGAACAGCGCTTAGGGAATAACACAGACAGTTTTTGATTTTCAGGCTGCTGGCTGGTGATGAGGATACACAGATTAATACTAATGATTTCAGACTGATTAGTACAAAACAAAACTTACAAACATATCTGTGCTTTTGCACTTTTTAGCCTATTTACTACAAACCATGCATTCTTTGCATTTTATCTAGCCATTTTGTAAACTATGCTTCTGTGCTTTAGCAATTTCAATGCATGTTTTCAACTGTTCCAGGCATGCTAACAGTGGCTGTGTGCAACAGTATGGAAGTATGCGTTCAAAGCATGCATTCAAAAATAAAAAGTACACATGATTAATAGTTAAAAAAGCTAGAACATGCAAAAACAGTGGTTAAAAGAATCAGAAGCCTCTTAAGTCCTGTGTTGTGCTACAGTTTAAAATAGTCGTGGTTCCCCTCTCCACAGGTCTGGCTCCTTCATCCCGACCCGACAGCCACAGCACCTCAGAGGCCCTGACCCCCACGACTCCAACCTCCAGCAGCCAGAACCGCCTGGGCGGCGCCCCCTCTGTGAACATCATATCTGGCCTGGCTAGTGGTCCTGGCATGGACCACATGAAGGCTGGAGGCCTGGCAGGACTGTTGGGCCCGCCACCCAAGGCACCCCGGGGACGGAAGAAGATCAAAGCTGAAAACCCCACTGGTCCTCTGCTGGTGGTGCCGTACCCCATCCTAGCTGACCAAGGCTGTGTCACTGTTGCACCCAAAGAGGGCAAAACTTACAGGTTTGACACAGAACGTTGCTGCTTTTGTTGGGACATTTCCTTTCAGTGTTCCTCGTGCAAAGCCAATTCACACATTTAATTGTGGTCTGCAAAAGATCAATACACATTTACCTAAGGCAGGTCTGGTTTAAAGTAGACTGCAGATGGTGCAGATGATTGAGATGCGCTCTTCTTCACTGACACATCAATATGACGCCATGCTGCTTCTTCTTCTTCTTCTTCTATTTTACTTTTTCATAAAGAACAGGAGTTTTCAGAGGCAGTGAGACTAAGTGATCTGGTTTCCAACTGCCAAACTTAGTCAATTTCTACTTTATTTTCTACAATAAGACCTTGTAGCAAAACGGAGCTTGCAAGACTAAAACTTACTTTGTGAGGTTGGCACAGAGTAGACAAGTCTGTGGGAATTCTTTGCAACTAATTGGATCCTAAACCGTTACCTACTTCTTTTGAATTAAACTCTGCTCTGACTCAGAGCTACTGATGGTGTGGATATCGATTATAATTCAGAGGTGGTCGTGTTTTGCTTTGTCTTGAAAATGACTGAGGTTCTTCTTTGTATTGACACTGAATGGTGTTACGCTGTATAGTGTCTTTAATTCTTGACAAATAATTAATTAATTCAAAAAATAAATGATTTATTTTGCCTTATTTGACTGAAGCAGCTGAACTGATCATGTTCATGCTTTTTTTTTCTTTTTTTTTTTCCTTCCTTTTTTTTTTTTTTGTCACAAAGATGCAAAGTTTGCCCGCTCACCTTCTTAACCAAGTCAGAGATGCAGATTCACTCCAAGTCCCACACGGAGGCCAAACCACACAAGTGTCCCCACTGCTCCAAGACGTTTGCCAACGCCTCCTACCTGTCTCAGCACCTGCGCATCCACCTGGGGATCAAACCCTATCACTGCTCCTACTGCGAGAACTCGTTCCGTCAGCTGTCACACCTGCAGCAGCACACCAGGTCGGTCCAGCTGTGAACACAGAGGTTCATGTTAATGTGGGAAATAAGAAATGGCCCTTGAGGAGCAACTGCAAATCAGTGACTGTTCTATCAACTCAACTCACAGATTACTACTGTTTACAACATTTGGAAAGTCATGTTTTTTTTTTTTTAGCAGTTCCTTTACAACCTCAGATGTATTTTGTAATTTGGGGAATTTCAATATGGTTTTGGTTTTGACTAGAATATGGGGAAAACCGTTGGAGTTACTTTGCTTATAAGATCTGTTGTGAAAATGCTTTGATCTTGTTTGCTCTACTTCTGTGGTGTAGCTGCTGTGGTTCTCTCTCATCCAAGGCATTAAAATGCAAAATTTCAGTAATCTCTGATGACCTTTACCAATCATCTGCTTCTTTTGCCACAGAATCCACACTGGCGATAGGCCGTATAAATGTGCTCACCCTGGATGTGAAAAGGCTTTTACCCAGCTGTCCAACCTCCAGGTCAGTGCAAGGTCACACAGCTGTACTGCCAAACACAACTAAAATCCAAAGCTAATAGGAGTTAAAATGAGGTGGTCTGCTTTCACAATTCCTGTTTTTATTTTGTTTTTCCCCTGACAGTCTCACCAGAGGCAGCACAATAAAGACAAGCCCTATAAATGTCCTAACTGCTACCGTGCCTACTCAGACTCCGCATCATTGCAGATCCACTTGTCAGCGCACGCCATCAAAAATGCTAAGGCCTACTGCTGTAGCATGTGTGGCCGGGCATACACCTCAGTGAGTAAATCCTGTTAACTGTGTGTTATCTCAGCATGTCTTGATGACCTTTGATGACACTCTGTTTCGCTTGGTCTGAAAGTAGCTGCTTCCTGTTTGTGACATTTAAACACTCAACATGTTCGTGCTCCTGTTGAAACAAACAGAAACGTGGTGAAGTTTTTTAATATAATTAATAAGGGTGCACCTCTCAGTTGGGCATAGAGGGAAATACCAAGTACCGGGTCATTTAATAATTTTTTTCCCCAATAACTCAGATTGGTAAGGTATTATGTTTAATCTCCAAATATCTCTTTAAGACCGACAGACTACCCCAAATCCAGTTGTAGCACACACCCAAAAAGAGAGCTAACTGAGCTATGAAAAAGACTTCTGTGTTTGGTTGAACTGTGAGTTCAGAGTTTTGTTTTAGCTAACACAGCCAGCACAATAAAGCTTTAAAATTTTCTTCTTCTTCTCTTGCTCAAGATAAACTTTTGTGCTTCTGAACTTGACCTGGTGCCAGGTTGTGATGTTGTGCTCCTCCCTCTGACTTCACGAATGAGTTTCTGTCATGTTTTACTTGGCAGATAGACATATTTGAGTCAATATGTGAGGAAAGAAAAAGTCAAATGTCCAAAGATAAAATGTAATAACGGCAGTAATTTCATTTTGGACCATTTGCTAATGTTTTCATGTCTTTACAGGAGACCTACCTTATGAAGCACATGTCCAAACACACAGTGGTGGAGCACCTAGTCAGCCACCAGTCACCCCAGAGGACCGAGTCCCCCAGCATCCCCATACGCATCTCCCTCATCTGAGCTCCCCGGCTGCTCAGGAGCAGCTCGGATTCAGAGTCTACGTTCGGCTGGAGCTTATGAGGCCCTGCACCCACGGCCATCTACATAAGGCTTACATTAGCATTATGACAGCTGACATGCAGCACATTCAGGAAGTATTCAGACCCCTTCACTTTTTTCACATTTTGTTCTGTTGCAGTCTCATGCTAAAATCCTTTGAAGTCATTTTCCCCTCAGCAGTCTACACTCAGTACCCCATAATAACAAATGAAAAACTAAATTTTAGAAAGTTCTGCAAAATTATTACAAAGGAAAAACTGAAGTATCACATTGACATAAGTTTTCAGACCCTTTACTCGGGACATTGTTGACGCACCTTTGGCAGCGATTACAGCCTTTAATTTTCTTGGGCGTGACGCAACAAGCAACAAGCTACGCACAACTGGATGTGCAGATTTTCTGCTATTGTTCTCTGCAGATCCTCTCAGGTTCTGTCAGGTCACGTGGGGACTGTTGGTGAACAGCCATTTTCAGTTGACTCCAGAGATGATGCATTGGGGTCAAGTCAGGGCTCTGGTTGGGCCACTCAGGGGGATTCACAGGGTTGTCCTGAAGCCACATCTGCGTTGTTTTGGCTGTGTGCTTAGGGTCATTTTCCTTTGGGAAGGTGATCCTTCCACCCCAGGTCCTGAGAACTCTGGGTCAGGTTTTCATTAAGGATCTCTCTGTACTTTGCTCCATTCAGCTTTCGATCAACCCTGACCAATCTCCCAGTCCCTGCTGCTGAAAAACACCTCCACAGCCTGAAGCTGCCAACACCTTACGCCGCTCTAGGGATGGTAAAGGGCAGGTGATGAGTATTGCCTGGATTCCCCAAGACATAATGCTTCAAACTGAGACCAAACAGTTCGATCTTGGTTTCATCAGACCAGAGAATCTGGTTTCTCACAGTCTGAGAGTCCTGTAGGTGCTTTTTTGCAAATTCCAAGCAGCTTCCAATGAGGAGAGGCTTCATCGGACCACTCTATCATGAAGCCCAGATCAGTGAGAGCTGCAGTGCTGGTTGTCTTTCTGGTTTTCTCCCATCTCCACACAGGATCTCTGGAGTTCAGCCAGAGTGACCATTGGGTTCTTGGTCACCGCTCTTACCAAGACCCTTTTCCCCTGATTGCTCAGTTTGACTCAGCGAGGGTGGGCTGCAGTTGAAAAGTCAAAACATTTCCTTTCCTGACAACTTTGTTTGACCTCATGAGGTCAAGGAAAGATTCATGAGGGCTTATGAAAAGACAACTGTAGTGCTAAGAGAATCCTACAGCACTGACACTAGTCAGCAAGGATGGATGTTAATGAAGTAGAATGGTGTTTTGTGGAATGGTGTTTTTTGGAATGGTGTTTCTGCCGCAAGGAATTCTGGGATGGCATTATCTTCTTTGCTTTCATAAAGGATGGTCCAGTGTACCCTATGCTGAAGGAGATAAGAAAGGGAGCATTGAGGAACCTTTCCTCAGTATTCATTTATTTTGCTTAGGAACCTTCCTAAGCAAAAAGGCTTTGACCACAGCCGATGCAGCAGACATTTTTTGTAGCCGCAGATTTCTGCCCGACGCAACCCTGTCTCTGAGCTCTGCACGCAGTTCCCTCACCTCATGGCTTGAGTTTTGCTCTGAACTGCATTATCAGCTGTGAGACATTATATAGACAGGTGTGTCTCTTTCCAAATCATGTCCAATCAACTGAACTGTGGTGGACTCCAGCCAAGGTGTAGAAACATCTCAAAGATGATCAAGAGAAATTGGAGGCACCTGAGCTAAATTTCAAGTGTCAGAGCAAACGGTCTGAATTCCTAGGTTTAAGTGATGTTTCAGTTTTTCATTTTTAATAAATTTGCAAACATTTCTAAAATTTTCACTTTGTCATTATAAGGTGTTGAGTGTAGACTGATGAGGGGAAAAATAAGGCTGCAACATAACAAAATGTAAAGAAGTGAAGGGGTCTGAATACTTTCTGAACGCACTGTAAGCATTCAGTGCTAGATTCAGTAAGTGGACTGCCTCCATTCGTCTTGACACAGGCTGTCTGTCAAAAATGAGCACAGCATTATTTTGTGAATGTAACAATACAGCTAGATGTTGTCCGGAGGATCGAGTGGCAAAGAATGTCTTGTGTCAGATTTAATAAGCACTTTCGTAAGCGTCATGTAAACTGCCGGATGCATTGGCCATCAGAAATGTTTTAGTTAGTTTTTTTTTTTTTTTTTCCTCTTCCATGAAATGGGTTTCTAAAATGTGCCAGATGATATTTGCCCTTATAAAGAATTGAGAAAGTAGAAAAATGTTTGCTGGGTGTATTCTGGAGACATCCAAAGATAATCTTAAAGCACTTTTAGGCCTTGTGGTTTTGGCTCAAATTGTTTCAATCTTGTTGGATGGAAAATGCCAAAGGGCATTACTTGTGGCAGCTAAGAGTACTGACTGTGTATAAATAACAGTCTTTATCTGTTACTTTATTTGCTTTTACTCACATTTTTGTGCAAGTACACATTTACAGGGTCGTCTAAATTTGAAGAAAGGCAATCGGTAGATGACAATTTAAACATTTAATGATTGTATTAAGAAGTTGTATTATTGACTTGGGGAGGCAAAAAATATAGCAACATGGAAGGGAAGAAAGATGAATGTTTTTTTTTTTATTTCCAAAATCTTTCACTTCATATTTGATGTTAACTTTTACGGCACCTTCATGATCATCACTTATGATCAAAGAAACACTGCTTTTTACATTATGTTTTCCTCACATCCCATTAACTCGTGCCATATATGAACCTTGTTGAGGTTTTAAGAGAAAGCAAATCTTGTAACAGTGTGTGTGCTTTCTCTATTCTGTTAAGCTTTGACTTTTATTTTCTTAGTATTAGAAGTATATGTTGCAGAGGTTGAATACATTGCACATGCATCAGTGCCAGCTCTACTCTACTCAGCCCTACTTTTTAAATACACATAAATTTTACTCGAGTGGTAAATTTTTACACCCAACCACTGGACCAAAATGTGAAGTTATTGTACTCCGACCCAGTTAAGATTCTTTTTAATCTTTAATAAGCTTTACCCATTTGAAATAAACTGCAGTATAAGTCATATTCCATAGGCCAATATTATGAGTTTGTGTGGAGGTGATGTTTCTCCTTTTGATTTTTTTTTCTCCTTTAGTATTCTTTTCATTGTACACAGTATTGTTTGTTGTATTTTTACTGTAACTTTAACCTCTGGATGGTACTAATAGGGTACCCTGTGTTCTTCAGGGCACTTCAGAAAAGGTGCTACAGCTAGATGTTATGTTTGAGATGGAACTGAGAATAATGTAAATTACATATACAGTATATAGTATGTTTTCAAAAGAATAAAAACTTATTACTCAAGCCACTGGCCTGAAAACAGACATTTACGCCAACAACAGACCCTGCCTCTTCAACTTACTCTCTCTCTTGAGATAATGGGAAAATGTACATGTTGCTGTACTGTAAAACATGTTACTCATTTATAGTACCTATTTTTAAGTTTTCATAAACATGTTCTTTTTGGGTTTTGTAAAAGTTTATGTATGGACTTACTGTAATTATTTTAGTCTACCCGTATGTTATTAATATTCATGTTTTATATCAGTTATTTACATGTAAGCCTTAACTGTTTTATCATCCCATTTCCATTACTCTGTATTGTGTTCTGCAGTATTCAATCGTGTAAACATTTTTATTTTTTCCTTCCGCATGGAGTTCCTGAGCTGTAATCTGTATGATAACTGTTTAACCCATGTTCTCTATGAAAAGATATTGCGTAGATTTATTACACTTTTTCCTGTCTTGCATTGTGGTTTCATATACAGTTTCTAGAAAACTAAATATGCACAGCCAAGACTGAGAAGTTCAACTAAGGTTATCAATGTTTAAAAAAGGAAAAAAAGCTTTGTATCTTTACCTTGTTTAATAAACAGACTGTTACAAATTCATCACTGATAACTGGGTTTACTAAAAGGTCTACCAAAAAAATCTGTTTTTTCAGAGTGCGACGTAGAGGAAAAAAAAAAAAAAAAAATCAAGGATTCAGTTTGTTATTTATTCACTTTTATTTATGAAAATAATTTTGCTTAAAAATGTATTTACATAACTACAACAAAAGTCAAAGGTTCTTGTTAATTACATCTCAGATTACACATCTGTCGCAAACAGGCTTCTGTTATTAGACGTATTCACGCAGCAGCAAGATAAAGTTTAACACTTTATCAATTCAGGCACAATGAAATAGACAAAATAGACTATAGTTTCCACAGTGTATAACTCTATTACTGAAACAAAATAATAACAGTGGTATGAAATAATTAATGTCATGTATTTAATACCATGTACAAAATACACGTCTCTCTGCTGATGGTCTTTGTGGCTGGAGTAGAAGCACTTCACGTGTTTCCCTGGAGGAAACCTACGAGGTTAACCAATGGAAGCAATGGAAGCTCAAAATAGACAAAACAAAACGTCTGGAATTATGTGGCTTTTCCCGACTTTTTGGATGTTTTTTTTTAAACTACAAGCAAAGCTGCACATTGTAAATACTGGAGTAACCATAGCCAACAAGCTATAGGAATGGCATATGGCTCTGTTTACCACACAGTCTCATATTAGATATAAAGTGGGTCCACAACATTTTCCACAAGATTTTTTAACTTGTAAATGTGTCTTATGTGTCTCAAGATATTTTGACACAGTAAAACCATAAACATAGAACACCACAGGCATTTTTTCATAGAAAACACTGCCAAGATTAAATTTAACTACGAAAAATACATATCATTGATATCCCACTGTTGTATTCCACTGCTACATTTTCTCAAATGTAAACACAAGTAAATCTTTTTATAAAGTGCTTAGTTTAAACTAGTCTCATTCAAATCCACCCATGAAATGTTTTTGATATTGCGCTGCACTCGTGTGAAGTACCTTTATCCTGTACTATATGTTAAAAAAACAACAATGATCTTTCCCATAAACCAACACAAGTCTTTCAAGCAATTGACCAAACAACTGACCAACAAAGCTTGTGCCAGCTGGCTTCCAAATCAAAACTCCCATTACATCCTGTTGCCTTGAAAATATGTCATAAAAATGATTGATTGACACTTGCAGTTTTTTTAAATCCCCGATAATTTCCCTCTCAGTCTGAACCTGGATCAAAATACAGGCCAAACAAGAATCTGCTTTGCAATACAAAAGAGATATGACCCTGAGCAGAACTGCAGTGGAAGCCCCCTTTCATTATTACTGTCTTTTAACAAGAATTATTTGCTTTCAACATATTTTTTCTATCTCCAGCGGAGTCGGAGTCAAATACTATAATGCTACCCAGTGCATGACTTACAGCACTCATCTTTGCTGCTAGCTTGCTGTTGCAAACACAAAGGCAACAACCGCATCAGAGCGTAACACGTCTCATACCTTGTCACTGTTAATAGAGCTCTCCTCTGTGCCTCTGGGCTCTGGAGGAGCCAATGGGGAGGTGAGATTCAGGTAACCCTGTTCTGATAGCTGGTGTGTGGAGACAGACGCTCGGGTGCCGTCCACCAGCATTCGCTCACCCACTTTCACCCGGCAGATTTTGTCCAGGATGTCCAATGGGTCACAGGAACCTGATGTCAGACTGGTGACACAAATGTGAAAATTGTACATACAAGCATTCACCTGTGTGTAGAGGAAAGTGAGAAATATGACAGGTGCAATAAGTTGGAAATTCTTTGAAGAGCTTAACAGAACTGCTTTATATATTTTCTAGCAACACCAGAAATTAAGCAAAACCATAAATCACAAATATCAATCGAGAAATCATTTAAATAAAACAATTAGTTCTGTCAGTCTGCCTTACCTTAGTGTAGATGTATGTAGGACGCCGTCACAGAGACTTTCAGAGTGGTGCACTTTCTTGGCATTCTGTCGAGCATTTACAATTATCATATGTTTGGCATCAAATTCATAAAATGTTTTATCACAATAAAAGAGGAAACATGTCACCCAATTTACATAAGGTCAAGCTGCTTCTCTTATCTTTAGAAAACATTCAGCATTAGCCACAGTAGCTGATGATCAGGTTGTACCATTTTCAGCCAGACAGCAAACACTTAAATTTGAAACTCTTCAATACTAATGCTGTATGAGCTGTTTTAAAAGAGTAAAGAACATCTGTGGACTTTGGGTTGCATGTCCCATTAACTCATAAAGATACTGTATGTGTAGTGTTACCTCCAGGCTGTAGAACGACTGGACGTTTCTCAGGGCGCGCTCTAAGGAACTGACTTGATTGGAGAGCTTTAGGGTCCGATCCTGTAGCTGTCTGTTTTCCACTTCTAAGACGTTGACCCTTGAACAAATTTATGTTCATACTCACTCACAAAAACAATTTAGCCAGTGTGTCCTTTATGTCTCATGGTTAAGAGAGAATTTAATGACAACAGCAATGTTGTTGTATATTGATGTGATATCCAAAATGTAATACTTAGTTTCCACTTGGAATGAAGGCACTCTACTCAAAAAAATACTCAGCAGGTAATGTGTAAAGAGTGATTCATGAAGATACCTGTGTTGAACCGTTGAGGCAGTCCTCATGCCATTGCTACCCATTTCTTCTGCCTCACTTATCTTCCTCAACAGTTCCCTCTTCTCCTCCAAAAGCTTCTCATTTTCCTCCATCACTGTTTGGATCCTTTCCTTCTCCTGAAAGAAGGAAGACAAGAGGAAGAAAGAGACAAAAACAGAGAGACATTAGTAAATATTGTTCTAGCACAAACATTTCTTGTTTCTTTAAAAGTAATGAGAGTCAGCATCTGGCATGATGTGAGCGACCTTGTGTGAGAGGCTGGAGGCCAGCAACAGGTCGTTCTCCAGTTTTTGGATGGTTCGATCCCTCTGTGCCGTTGTCTTGAGAAAGACCTGCTTGGCCTGACGCAGCTTAGTCTTGTGCTGACTCTGCTTTTCATTGTACTTTCTGAGTTGGAGGAGAAAAGGAAATGAATCATGGGAAAAGCATCAGCTTCTCCTTGTGTCTGTATTCAGCTGAAAATACATATAGAGTTAATTTCATTATATTGCATTCATTGTAAATATTGGTGTCATTTGTGTCTCACCTAACGTGTGTGTCATGTTGGAGGAGAACCTGCTGCAGCTCCGCCTGAAGTCTGTCACACTCCTGTTGACTGGCCGCCAGCTCCTCCTGCAGTCTGTGGCTGCACTTCTGGCCATCTCTCACCTGGAGGACGCATAACACCAAGGTAAATATGAATATATAAACAATAAACATGACCATCACTTTAATGTGAAGACACCACAATGTACACTGACTCTGTAAAACAGCAGCACTAAAGGATTACAGTTTTTGATAACATACTGAACATGTATGACTATAGTAAAACCAATTCTATCACCCTGCATATCGGACTTTACCTGGTTGCAGCTGCTGATTAAATCTTCAGACTGATCACGAATTGAGGTAAAGTGAGGGAGATCAGACTGTTCAAACATTTTGGATATGAGCTGTCAACACAACACCCCTAAAAAATAACATTACTTTATCATTACAGTCCTGTAAAAAGCATGATGAGAACTTGTCCTTGGAAAAAACAAAGCTTTCAAGACAGGTCTGAAAAAACTGATGAGGAATGCAAAGTTGAATCTTATGTGATTGAAATTACACTGGAAGCGAAGTGCAAGCTGAGAAATCGTCAACTTGTGAATCACATTTCAGCAAAATTTTGAAATGTTACAGTATGTGAAATCGACATATTAGGAGTGTCAAAGACGTCTCAGGTGTCCAAAGCCCTGTAGTTCTGATGACAGCTAAAGAACTGCGGTACACTTTTCCTTACCTCCTCTCTGGCCTTCCTGAGCTCAGCCTCCAGGATGGCCAGACGGGTGTCTAGCTGCTGGGCACGGTGGCTAATCTCTGTGTTGGTCCTGGTCAGGGAGGCCTCCTTCAGCCTCAGGGAGCGCACCTGCTGTAGCAGCTCCTCCTCACGCTGCTCTAACAGCTTCCTGAGGCGGGAACAGAGGAAAAGATGGATAGAAGGAGGGTCAACAAAAATAGTGGATCAGAATCATGCCCTAAAACTTGCTATATTGTTTATGGCACAATTAGTATGACATGGAACGAGTAAAACTGGGCGGTGTCAGCAGCACCACATGTTCTGTGACCTGGTGATGTGCTCCTCCTGCTGCTGGGCTCTCAGGGCTGACAAGGTGTCAGACAGATCCCTGCTGTCCCGCTCCAGGCGGCTGCTCTCACCGGCCCGTGCTTCCTCCACACGCAGCTGGTGCTGGGCATTCTTAAGCTGCTGCTGCAGCTCCAACACCTGCCATCATATCAATGCCACAGGATTCACTCAGTTAGACACACAGGCAACATGAGCTCCCAACCTCCCATCCATTTCCAGATTATCCCAGGATCTCCTGAAGGTGTCTGACAGAAAAAGTCTGTAATGTCGGCAATTTCTACACAAGCCGAGAGTTAACAGCTTCTTCTGCATACTCACTGCTCAGATAAGAATGAATGTTATTAAAGCTCAAGTGCAGGTCACAGAAATAACAACACTTATAAAGAATAAGAGAGTATCCATTAGTATGTAATGCTATGTATGGAGACATTCAAATAGGCCATTTGCAATGTCACAACTTCTGTGACCTCGCATTTTCAAGAGACTGGAAACCGCATCCATTAGTGTTCAAACTGCAGCTTTCCCTGGGGATTTCACTGATAAGCAGAATCTCAACCAGTGAGGAGGAATTAATAAGTAGAATCAACTGGGCCCCTGTTAACTCTGGGTTTACCTACCTACCCATGAAAGTGCTCACATGGAAATGTTGAAATTTGTAATTACAAGCCAATGACATGCGGCATCAACAGAAAAAGAGCAGCAGATTCAACACCAGATTAGCTGTGCTGATCCCTGTACAGAAATTAGGGCATTGCAGAGGAAATTAATCAACTGATCTGTTCAATAGAGACATCATGAACAGTGGGAGCACCAGGCAACGATTCCTTGCTCCAGCACTGACCTTCTTGTCAGCAGCAATGAGCCGCGCCCTCTCAGCCTGCAGGTCCTCCTGCAAACTTGTGGTGGCGCTGCGATATGTGGAGTTACGTGCCAGTTCCAGCTCCAGTTCCCTGATTTTCTGCTGCTGACTTTCACTCTCAGCCACCTGAGTGTGGACAGTCTGCTCCACCTGGACCAGCTTGGTCTGGACCTGCTTCAGCTCTGCACAAAGCTAAAGGAAACATCCGACAAGAACACAAAAACAGATGTTTAACACCAATGCAACAACTATTCTAACAATTATACTTTAGTTTTTTGCAGAGCACTTTCCTTCCCTGTTAAGGTTTGTGTTACAGTTTCACAGTTGCTCTGACTAAGACTGACTAAGAGAGCGATTAAGATGATGATTAAGTGATAAATATCAGAGGCGATCAGGAAATTTCATAGTTCTGTAATTAAATACCAACCTTGAGCTTTTCCTGGTCCAGCAGGGTATTGTGCCTCTTCATGTCCATGTTCCTCTCTTTCTCGTAGCGCAGCTCTCTCTCTGCTGAGGTGAACAGGCTCTGGGCCCTCTGCAGGTCCTGTTTCATCTGTTTAGCCTCCTCTGCCTTCTGGCTCAGCACTGAGTCCTGGGACTGAAGAGGAGAAGGAGAGACAAGGCTGAGACAGGTTTATGCTGAGGGGGAGTACAAATAAATACAAGAAGCCAGAAGTGTCTTCAGTTTTATTTGGTTTGGGTATTATGAATCATCAAGCCAATCCAATGTGCTCGACACAATCTTAGTCAAATTCTGTCAAAAGCATGACAAACTACTAAAATTGGGAGGCATAAAGCTTTTGTGATGATCATTAGAACTCATTGTGAATAGAAAAGAGGAAGATTACCAGAAATGCTACTGGCTAAGCTATAAAAATGTTTGCTGTATTACTGTCACTTCAACCAGATCACCAATCGTCATTGCATACTTAAAGTATAACTTAAGTATAAATGAATAATGCTGCTGCTGTTTTATGAAAACTAAAGAAATGAAAAAACACCTGAAACTCAAAAATAGTGAATACGAAGGAGACACTCCTAGCTTTCATTTCCTTATAAGATATTTTAAATTGAACTGCAGAAACAGCATGGCTGTTTGGGCTCATATGGATGTGTTATGGTCATAAGTACCTTGACGCGTGCCTGGGCTTCATTGACCTGAGCCTGCAGGGCCAGCTGGTGCTGAAAGGCCAGCTGCTGCTCCTCCTCCAGCTTGGTCTGCAGATGATTCAGCTCCTGTTTCAGGCATGAAAGCTTCAAACACAACACACACATAGAGAATATGAATTCTATATCATCCTGGCAGAGGAAATTCCCTTTCTGTTTGCTTTCCTCTAAAAGCAGGTCAAAGGTTAGAATCTGCTACAGAAAAGAATCTTTGAGCTAGTGGGGGCCCAGTGCCTTACTCAAGGACATCGAAGCTGGACAGTAATGTTGAAGGCCATTCTTTCTACTCTACCCTGCTGCCCCAATTGTTGAACATTTAATCAACTAAACAGTCACACAGGATTATTTCACATATGACCTTTCTTACAATTCAAATTACCCTGCCAAAGAACATGAGATCCAGTTACCTGATCCAAGCTTTCATCCTTGGTACTCTCCACAGGACTAAACCTAGATTCTATGTGAGTTGTATCCAGTTCAAGCTTCTGGCTGCTACTAAGTGCTTCCTTTGTGAAGGAGAACTGCTCTTGATGGCTCTTGAGCTGCTTGTTGAGGTGCTGTATCTCAATCTCCAGTCTTTCTCTTTCTCCCTCAGCTGCCAGCTTCTCCTGGACACTGGAGCTCAGCTTGGCTTGGAGCTCGGCAGTCTGCAGCCGCTCAGAAACCATTTCATCCCTGGAAAATATGCACATTTATGCAACACAACACAAGTCAGAGCCAGTGTTCCAGTCCTATCTTGTGACTCACCATGAAACAAGATTGAAGCACCAATTAGGTAGCACCATCACTTGTCTCCCAACTCTGATCTATGATCTAACCCACATACTACTGCATGAGCCAACAGCTATTGCACTGTCAACTCTGGACTGACAAAAACCTCAGTGTGTTGTGTGCTGTCTGGAGGCTGCTGAGTTCAGCAGTCAGGCGGTCAGCCTGCTCCTGCAGCTGGTCAACATGAAGCCTGCTTTCCTTCCGGTCCTGCTGGGTCCGGTTACTGTCCTTATAGCGCTCTAGCTCACTCTGGAGTCGGCTGTGGGTGCGCTCCATCTGGGCCACCTGACAGCCAGAGTCCAAGACAGAAAGATGGAGACAAACTTATTTTAGTTGTGCAGATGTCAAAACGCATTCATGTTTACAGTCAAAGGTTGTCAAGTTTATTTTAATTTGTTGAATAAATATAAACTATTTTCATATTATTTCATATAGTTTCTAACTATATTAGTGGTTTAAATGCTGAGTTTTTTAGATTTTTTTGTAAACAATACAATGGACATATTTCTGCCTATTAACATGCTTTAGCACACCATGTATTCATCTTTATTTCTTATTAAATATTTCCTGTGTCAGTGACATGTTATATTAACAAACCTTTTCCTCCAGAACAGCTTTTTCCCCTTTGACTTGGGTGAGGCTCTTGATGAGCGTTTTCCCTTGTTGGCATTCTGTCTGAAGGCTGTTAACTTCCAGTCTCAGCTTCTTCAGCTCTCGTTCACCTATCTGCAAAGCCTTTGGTGTGAGAATGAAGGAATTATATACAGTTAACTGTGTGGTTTGTAACTGTAAACTGAATCTTACATACTTATGTAGCTGTGGTGTCATTGTTTTTTCTGCCAGACACAGGACTGGATATGTGTAGTTTTTACCTCTTTGTCTTTTTTGAGGGCAGCCTGGGCAGCATTGAGGTCAATCTCCAACTGTTTCCTCCAGTCCTTCTCTTCAGTCAGCCGTGCCTCTAGCAGAGCCAGTCTCTCCTGGCTGTTGTCCCTTAGGTGCTTCACACATGGTGAAAAAAGTACTGTAAGTACTGTGAAATTGGAAGTACTGTGTTAAATCTCCTCTAATGTAGCAGCATTTAACCTCTGCAGGCAAATGAGTCCAAAAGAGATCTTTTAGGACAAACTTGGGATACTGTGACAGTTTCCTTTAATTTTATACAGCACAGGTGGATGGCTATTCCTGTCCTGATCACATTTATTGTCCTTTTGCCGCTTATAACATGAAAACCTATTCAAATTCACTTTATTTTACATTTTAACCATTTGGATTGCATCCATCTGTGCTTCATAAGGAGCTTTGAATAAATCACAGTCATTTATTTAAGTCTGTGTAGTCAAGGCCTTCATGAACCGTAGTGCTCCTGCTGTGTTGACACACTACTGTCACTAATCCCAGAGGAAACAGTAAAGACCTTGAAAAGTAATTTCTTACCAGCTGTAAGTAGGACTCGGTGGCTTTGACCTCTTCTCCATTCTTTATCATTTTTTCATGGGCATCCTGCTTCTTCAGCTCTGCCTCCAGGCTTTTGATCTGCATGACCAGTTCAGATTATTACTCAGTCATTAGAGATGACCATTTCCACGATCAATCTTTTCTAAGGTTAAGAAATTATATATAGGTTTTGAGCAATAATTTAGTGCTGTTCATTACCCTCCTATGCAGTCCCTCCAGTTCTCCCTCATGGCGATGACCCTCCTCCTTGCTGGCGTTCTGGGCCTCCCCCAGCAGGGCCTCCAGCTCCTCGTTCCTCTCCTCCAGCTCTTCCTGTTCCTTGCGTAGCCTTTGGAGCTGTCGTTGCAACTCCCTTACCTGAACAAGCCCATCTTCCATCGCCTCGTGACACCTAACAGAGAATGATGATGATTTCAGTCAGAAAGAGCAGGTGGGATACTCTTGACTTGTCAACATAAATGTACCACACAGTATTTTGTCGTGATTGAGGAATGAATGAATTTACCGTTTGTGAATATGATCTTTTTCTTGAGCTGACAAGGCAGAAAGATTGTTTTGGGGTTCGCTGCTAATGCCCTTGTCCTTTCGATCCTCTTCAGCTACTACATCTTGGTCTGCAACATTTATTGCCAACTGAACAAACACAACAACAATGTAAATCAGCTGCAACAAGTTTTGTGGTTTTTTGGAATTTTTATTTTAATAAATAAATATCAACCTGTTCCTGGAGGTTTTTCTTCTCAGATTCTACAGTGCGCACTCTCTCTCTCAGAGCTCTGTTCTCAGCATCTAGTCTGTCATTTTGCTCTTTGGCCCGCTGCAGCTTCATCATATCTGTGGAGAGAGAACCATGACCATGAATGCAGCCATGAAAATGTATTTTTCTTTTTCTTGTTTTACCTTTTTAAACCTACCTATAGTGCACCTGTTGATGGTGTGTTAATTTGTTAAGAATTTTTTGGTAAAAAAAAATAAAAAATAAAAGCATGAGCTTGAAATTTTTGTCCTTACAACAAATCACATTAAGTATTTTAACTAACTAAAGGGACTTTTAGAACTAGTTTTACATTACTGGCTTTGTCTGGATATGTGATAATAGAAAATAATATTTTCAACAACATAATAAACAAAATAATAACAACATAATTAAAAAGAATAATAAATGTACCTGTTTTGAAAGTTCAAGAACCAATGGAGAGCAACAAGTGACAGTAATAGTAAGTGCATCAATTTCCTAGTCAGGTAGTTACTCTTGCAGTAATTTATGTCACACCCAAATCTGTCTCACCACAGTTTTTCAGTTTGTCCACTTCCCTCCTCAGGTTTTCTACTTCTTGGACCATTCCCTGAATCCCAGATCCTGAGATTATAAGCATATTTTTAATTCTGTAAAGCAGAAAATATGATTTCTGCTAATCCACACCTTTTATAACCTTTCGTAATGATTTCCTTTAGTTGGCTATAATAGCAATCCACTTCCACAAAAAATACACTGATTAGAAAGTGAAGTTGCTATATTAAACAAATCTGTAGCCTGACAACAGTATGTGGACATTTAAGTATTTTAAAGGTCAGAGGTAACAAACTGGGTAGACCAGGGACTGGGGCTGCATGTGTAAATCATGGCTACTCAATGCCATCATGTGTGTTTCTTATAACCACTTTTGCAGCAACAATGTGCTTAGTCTTTAAAAGCATCATATCAAAGTCTAACATACTGTATACTCTCAATACTTTACTGTAAGTCTTTGCAACATACCACTTGAATCTAGGTTGTTGTTTTTGGCAACATCCAGCTCATTGGTGAGTCTGCGGATATCCTGATGAGCCATTGCCAGCCGCCTAGACGCCTCTTCCAGGTCCCGCTCCAGCCGCTGGCGCTCATTTCGCTCCTGGGATATCTCCTCACTGTGGGCCTGGTGTTAAAGAATGATTTGTGGATAGTTAGAGTGCGAGGACGACAGAACGAAAGAATACTGGTAGCAAGACCGGAGATGCAAGTGGCCCAACGTGCTATTGTGAGAGACATGCGTTTTGAGGCTGAAATTCATCATCACTGCAGGCCTGGAAAAAAGCAAGGGCAGTGAGTTACAGTACAATCTTATATCTCAGGATTCACCTGCATTGAGGGACCAGTGGGACAAAAAGTATACATGCTGTTACCTGTGACATGCCATTACTGTTCCTCCTATCCACCCTTTTCAAACACCCATCAGTTGTTAGAAAATTATACCGACAGATGCGTTAATGAGACAAGCAATGTTGTCTGCATCATAGTGATCATGCAGATATCAAGGCACATAATCAGTGTGCAATGTATTTCAAAAAGTATAATCACTCATAAACAACCCAGTGACGCCCTCATTTGACTCTTCATCATAATATCGGTGTTAGTTGTTAAGTTAGTATAAGCTATGAGGTGGAAACCTACAGGGGTAATATTGTGTTTGCTCTGACCAGACCTGCGCAGCCCAAACAGCTTCTTCCATGGACTCTGGGATGCACACTGCTGAGAGGAAAGACCATCGTGTGCAGAATCACAACAGACACTAAATAACTATCAAGTTGTATCCTCGTACTTTAACTGAAAAAAAAAATTAGTCGTTCTTTTTCTTCCCAAACTTAATTCAACCTGGAAAGTCTGAGAAGTTATACAGACCTGCAACTCAGCAGGACAAAATGAGAGTCACCTCACCTTTGTCATGTTATCTATGCTTTTCTGTATATTGTCCCTTTGCTGCCTTAGCTCCTCCTCCATCATGTGGTGAATATGCTCCTGTCCAAGTGTCACAGAAAGACAGAGACTCACTTAACCACATTTATATGGTCTCTGCATTTGCCTTGGATGGTTAACCATTACATTCCACTACAACTACAAAGCCTTTGGATAAGTTAATTTGAGAATTCGATGACTGAAGACTGTACATTCATTGTTCAAAATGGCAGAGGCTGTGTACTTTCACTGAAACCTTACATTTATACTTGAAATGGTAAAAAATTAACTCTACCACTGTACATACTATATTAACTGTTAAAACATTTCAAAGTGGTCTTATGCGGTCCATGGCATTATGAGGAAACGAAAAAGTCCTCTGATGTAGGTCAGTCCTTTACCTGGTGGTGGCCCTCCCTCAAATTGCCAGTGAGGCTCTGACTTTCCAGTCTCCTTTCAGCAGCCTCCAGCCTTTCCAGCAGTGTGGCCCTCTCCACCAGCAAGTAAGCCACCTGCTCACTGGGGCTGCTCAAGCCCATCTCCCCAAGGTCCTCCTGAGCCAGCATCTCTGCCAGCTCTTTGCTCTGACTCTCTGGAAGAAAGGGGAGTTTACACTGGTCAGTAGTTTGAATGGAAGGTGGTGAAATAACATTTAGGACAAGATAGAATAACACAAGTAAATATCCAACTCACACAAGTTTTGATATATCCACAGACAATTTTAGAGCATTCATGGCAAATAAAATTATTAGCTAAGACGTGTATGAAATATTCTGCTCAGGAGCCTACGTGAGTCAGGTTAGGCTACAACCCAAAGTAAAGAATGACAACACTGAACTACAGTGAATTCACCTTGTTGTTGTCTGATCTGGTGAAGCTCATGTCGCAAGTGTTCATTGTCTCTCTCATAGTCTGCAGTCAGACATTCACGCTCTTCCAACAGCCCACGAATGTGTGCAACATAGCTCTCCACCTGACAGACAAAAAGACAAAACCCCAAAAGTGATTCAGCTGTAACTGGCATACCAGCAACTGGCTTAGTCCTTACCCATTCCAAATAAGTGTGTGAGTCATTACATAAAGCAGTTTAATATGTCTATAGCTATACCCAATGAAAAGAAGTGGAACACATGGAAGGTGCACACAATTAGGGCACTAGTTTTTTATGTAGCACTTTTGCAACAGTTGGTTAACTAAAACACCAAAGAATCCAAAGTGTCTCACCTCCTTCATCTCATTGGCCTGCTGGGTACGTAAAGCCTGCAGCTCCTGGGCAGCTGACTGAAGCTTCGCCTCACTTCTGAGCAGCTGCTGCCACAGATGACGCTGCCGCTCCTCCGCACTGGCTGCAGGAGGTAAGCCATCCTCCTGAAGCCGCATAGAAATTTGGTCCAGCTCCGTCCACACCTGAGAACCCAGAAGAGGAGCTGAATGTTTGGGATCTGATATCATGTTCATCAGTGAAGTGTTAAACTATCATATTAGGCAGCAGGTTGTGATGTGAAATACGTGTCAGTATAGCGTGGTGAATCAAAAAGCATCAACTTAAGCTTGTGAATGAGTAGTCATGGGCACACTGCTTGTTATTATTTAGATTTGCCTGTCATAGCACGATGTATATTCAGCTCAAATGTCATTTACCTAAAGGCTGATAGAAAGGCTCAAATTTCCATAACATTTGTATGCGCCATACTGCTATACAATGTTATATGATGATTTTTGAAATACGTCACGCCATGACAGCTGCAACATAATAGGCAAATTATGTTTACTTACTTTTGCGATACAATGATCCAACAAAGTATCCTGCATTAGCAAGTGTTCAACTGTTCAACTGTTCAAGGCTGTCAGCCTTGATGAAAACTGATCAATTTGCATGACACAAAGGAGAGGGACACAACATTGGAGTGGCATGCCAGCACTAAACACCTGTTGCTGAATTCAATACTGTACTTTGTAGGGCTTGTAACCTGAGCAGGCCCCCCATGCAACTCCAACAACACACAACATATTGTCACAAGCTAGGTATCAGGTCTCATGTGCCTGATGTACTTAAACATCACACCAACTAGTCTATGTTCTTGCTATTGTGGAATAAATAATAATAATAATAATAATAATAAAATTATGTCACAAATCATGTAGATTAAAATAGTTTGCACAAGTTCCATCAAACATTTCTGGTGTTGAGCAGTGAACAAAGCATTTCAACAGTGACTGGCACTATATCTGTAAGAAAATTAACAGCTATGAATGTTACCTCATCATGATCCATGGTCATCATACATTAAGTTTGTTGTAGCTGCATCTGTGAGTGATGAACGTTTTCCTCAGTGGTGAAAGAAACAATCACAAACAACTTTGCCTACATGGTATCACACATAAACCAATCTGAATTTGCAATGAACAGCAGATCCTCAAACTTCATCACTCCCATTGTTGTTTCATCCATGACAACGTCTCTTGTCCTTTGGTTCCCCTGTAAAACATGAGAGACTTTAGAACAATGCTGTCAAGTCATGTTAGGACCTGCAGTCGCAAACTCTGGGATTAGACTAGCTACCTCATCTTACACAGGCATAGGCAAACAGTTTAAGAGACGAGTTACATTGCATCACCTGAGGCTATGCAAAGCTTCAAGTTGATTAGCTATGTTTGATATGCTGCTATGTTATCATGATGAATATAACATGGACAGCATGAGGGTAAGAGCTCTATCTCCTCAGCAGGCGTCTTCTTGTCCTGCAGATGAAAACGTTGCATTTAGCTCCAACATCTATATTATGATATTGCAATGTGGACAGTGTCGCCTCTTTTCTTGCTAATAAATCATAGGTTTCACTTCACGTGCAATTAAAACATCTTTATTTTCAAGGTAACCACTCTTCCCAAAATGTCTGACGAGGAGGAGCAAACGAGGGTTTGGTAGGACAACAGCCACTTGCATTCCTTTTTGGCCACGCAAACTCAGAAAGATTTTCTTAACTAATAATCATAGCCTTGCTTACCGCTTTGTGTTAAAACCTAGTAAATAACCAACTGTGACAACTGTGACTAGCAATTAGCAAGTTAGCAAAGTTGGCTCCAAAGTAGTCGTGGTATACTTCACATCCAGCTAATGCTAGCTCGCTAACGGTAGCCATTGCATTCTCCAGTGGCCGTTTGGCAACAACTGGTGATCACCGTAAGGTTTTCGTTATGATAACTGGGGACTCCGGCTTAAACACTAACTTCTTTGAGGTGGAGAAGCTGCGCATAAAGTGTGCACTTAAGGTTTTACCCACCTTTCAACAACAGCGACAAGAAAGCCAAGTACTGAGGACAGGCGTGGCGGAGTGAATTGGCTTCTACTAGCACCTAGGCAACGGACCGTACCATTTAAAGGATGTAGGGGACAATCGATCAGGGAAGTGGAAACCAACTAAACCAATTTGTGGGGTCCTATAATACATCCATAGGTTCGTTCGCCTGCAACAATGTTTATGGCAATTAAACGATTTTCAAAATTGGTTTCGACCTTGGTAACCAACAAGTAATCCAATTGTGTTTGTATGTATCATTTTGGACTGTGTGCAATATCCATCAGTGTCATGCCTTATTCACTGTTCTCGGTTAACCATAGCTTTTAATGAAGCCTTTCTCATTTATCAATGGATTTAAACACCAGGGGGCGACAAACAAACCAAATCTTTTCCCTCTAGGGAGTTGAAATATGAGAATTCATGTTCGAATTTTGCAATGATTCTAGCATTTAGCTTTATCACATTGTAATATTTTGAAATTATAATATGAAATATAATATGAAATTTATCAAATTAATGCAGACATACATGCATTAATATACGCTTTTCGAGGTACATGAATATTTTTTCTTTTCTTTTTTGCCTCGATTTAAATGTAAAGATGCTGTTTTCAAACTGGTAACTTGATAATTTGTTGTTTTGCTGTTGCCTCCTCTGACCCTACTACATGAACTAAGGCATGTTTTCCATGGTGTGGCCTGCCCAGATGTTTGCTGTGTGACCAGTGTACTCTGAATACTCATTATGTTCTGGTGTAGAAATGTGAGCTATGTTGCAGCTATGTGTTTATTTTTCACATTTACCTTAACAAGACTGAAATGATGAATGGATGAGGTATGCCAGAATGCTCATTATGACAAAGAGCCATTCTAGCAGACTGTTTACAGAGGAGGTCTTTTCATGTGGTTTTACGTGCCTGCACTGCCCATGGGTGGGTCTCATTTGAGTCTTTTTTGGATGGTGATGTTGTACTGAGGGACTATGAGGCAGAGCAAAAGGGATCTCTGTTCTGCACAGAGGAAATGGGCGTTCTCCTTGGAAAGTTTGGCTGGAGTGATTGAAAAAATAAAGGGGGTGTGGCAAGGCTAGACAGGAGGGGACCACCAAGAGGGGCACAATGTTGTAGAATTGTGGAGCTGCTCCTTAAGTCTGATTCAGAGGAACAGAATAACCAGGGTAAGTAGATATTTCCTTGACTTTTCATGGCATTTCTCTAAATATCTTGTTAAATCATACGAGTAGATTACTTTTAAAACAAAGAAGTCATCGTAGTGACCCTTGCATCACATATCCTAAGAACACACGCTCTAAAAGTAATGAGTAGCAAAATCCTGCCATGTTTTTGTTACCACATATGTTGTGTGCCATAATTAGATGACTTCTTTAAACAACCTTGAAACTGAAAAAAGATAATGTTACGTATCATATCTATGTAATTTCTGTATTTTATTTGATTCCTTACACTAAAATAATTTTTTCACAACCATTTGCTTTGTTTCTAAATCATTTTCACTGAATGTTTACCTTTCATTCAGTTTGATGAGATGGATGAAATATGCTAATGACATAATGATATGTCATTACACAAAATTTAATATGCACTAGATATAATGATAATTTGACAGTAATCATGACTCCCCTGGCCGCCCAAATGGACCTCTCCTACAGATAAAGATCTACACAGACAATTTCATCCTGTTTCTTTTTCCCTCTGTCTTCTTTTTTGTCTCACTGCGTGTTTTCTTATTGTGATACTTATAATTGCCACTTTAGTAATGTGCACTATTTGTCAGATAGCTTTGTAAAATCAGAGGCTTTTCCTCAGACAGTAATTTCCTCAAAGTTTACAAGTAGAGCAGCTTTAACAATATTCAAATGTGGATTGAATTAAAGTTTCTTTACCCTTTGCAGTGAAAAAAAGAAAAAAAGAGCCCTTTCAGAAGGGTAGAGAGTTTAATTGGGTAAATATTTTGGCACAATTTAGATTTCAATAGACCCGCCCAGGTTCCCAGCAGGTTTGCTGAACGATGGCAACACAGAGGCCAGTCAAAGAGAAGTTTTAGAAATAACTCATTGCACTCTGTTTTGAAGCATGGTGTTGTGCAACACAGGCTATACTATGTTCAGCTACTCAGATTTTCCATTTTGTATTTCAAGGCAAAACAGGAAAGTCCCCCAACACTGATTTTCACTCTGGAAACAGCAAACATGTTAAATTGGTAACACACTGTTTCCTTGCTTACTGTAATGCTGAATGCAGTTGCTCGGGAAGCCTAAGTTTAAACAATCTTGTTTGTCTTTGGCAGAAAATAAAAATGGCATACCTGCTTATGTTTGTGACCTTGCTGCATCTCATCACACTGGCCATGCTGTTCATTGCAACCATGGAGAAGGTAATAATCATATTTAGGACATGATGTTGATTCACTTTACTTTTTTTTTTTCATAAGTGAAACATATCCAGCTGTGTTTGTTGTGTCTAATCTGTTTAAAGTCCTGGTGGGTGTGGGATGGCCTGGAGAACTCAGACCTATGGTACAACTGTAGGTTTGACAATGTCACAGGAACCTGGCTTTGTGCATCCTCCAAAGAAACTGGTAGGCAACAATTTCATTTTGTATAGCTCCATTGAATGGGCTTTACATGAACAGTTCTCTCCCAAATGTAAAACCTGACAACGAAAACTGTTTTTTAGATATGGGAATGTTTTCTTTTCCCAGAGTGGCTTCAGGCAGTGCAGGTCCTGATGGTTCTCTCAGTGGTCTTCTCTTCAGTCTCATTCTTGGTGTTCCTGGGTCAGCTGTTCACCATGTCTAAGGGTGGACTCTTCTATTTCACTGGGCTGTGTCAAGTCTTCGCAGGTAACAGTGGAGTGAAACAATGTGCTGCCAATATGTCTCTGTTTGATGAGACCATTTGAAAAGAGTGACCCTTGCTCTTGCAAACTGAAAAGGAAAGCACATGTTTAAATCCCATAGTTGGCAAATAAGCTAAATGTTTAGAGAGAAGAGCCTCGATATTTCAGGTAAAGCAGAATTAGGGTGTTGCATCTCTCAAGTACAGGATCTTGTTAGTGGAAGAACCTGATACAGTTTTGGATCCCTACCAACTGTACTTTTAAAAGTATAATTTTACAACCAAAACATATCTTTATACAATAATCACTTAGTACAGGGGCTTTACCTTTACCCTTAGTTATGGCTGAATTGGTACAAATGTGTGTAATATGGTGGATTAGGTATACATCTGAGGGCCATTATGTTATGGCAACTCTGACATACCCCTATTTTTTGAGTGTGTATATATCAAATCAATAATGAAAACACCACCACAGAGTGTGCATATATCAACTTTTCTGTGACACAGTCTCAACAAAAGGTTAACTTATTGTGATGCTGATATGATTAGTTTTGTTCTGTCGCTATATGTCGCCACATGTTGCTGTTGATATCACTTTATTGTATATGGCATTAATCAATAAGTATATGACATGAGGCAGATTACAAACATTGCAAACTTTTCTCCAGTCTCCTAAAACAAACATCATCTTTGCTTTCTTGTAGGCCTGACAGCATTTTCTGCAGCTCTTATCTACACATTACACAATAAGGAAATCCTTCCCAACTCCAAAGAACTGACTTCAGGACACTTTGGCTACTGCTTCATCCTGGCCTGGGTGTGTGTCCCTATGTTGCTTTGTAGCGGTGTCATATACATTCACCTGCGTAAGAAAGAGTGACCAGAAAAAGGAAAACAATGTCAACAGCAGTACTGGAAAACAAAGTATTGAACTGACTTAGAAATATAAAATTTACAGGGGTCACAAAGTCACAAATGCCTATGTTATGATTTTTGTGCAGGCTTTGGTTAATGTAATTATATTTTTGAATTGTAGATACATGTATATTTGAAAATTATCAGGAAATAATGGACTATCTCCTGGGCAAATATTGATATCAATCCAGTATATAATGCTCACCTTCAGTTTTAAGACATTTTTGTAATAAGAGGGGTTATTTTGTCCACTGTTGTCATATGCTGACCAGAAGACTAAATACAAAAGCAGAGTTATGTATTTTTTTTATTTAGTCTTGTAGGCCTTATAAGGTGTTTGAATTGCTTTTAATTTTCCCTTGAGCAAATTGAAAATATATATTTATATATTTTTGTACCTAAAGCTGATAATGTAGACTACACTTAGTAGCTGCTCCTAATAAATATCACATATTGAAACATAATGTGTGCAATTCCTTGTTGTTCCTATATATTTTAAGTAAACCCAGCTTTTAAATTTCCTATGATAAATTCAACATTTGGTAGCTATAACCAAACATTGTGGAACATGTATCCTTCCGTATGTATAGGCCTATATAGACTTAGGTTGTTGCCATAGAAACGTGACATATAAACTTAGTTCCTCAACAACTAGCGTTTAGCTTCATCCGCAGTGTTGGAAAACTAATACGTGTGTTTATCCACTTTAACTGGGCTTTCTTGTAACAATGGAAGCTGAGCGTCAAGTTTTCGGGACAACATCAAAGATAATTCCTCTTGCCATACCCAAGGGAACGGAAAAGTTGTGTGAACTTTGTCAAAGACGAGCGCACCTGCAATGCGACAATTGTTGCGTCACCTTTTACTGGTAAGCTCGAGTTATCCTAGTGTTTTATCATGAGACGTTAGGCATCTAGTGGCAAAATAATATAGCCTATTTGTTTGTGAAAGCTTAATTTCCTAATTTCACAGGGCAGTTTGTGCTCATTTTGTGTGAACTTGGTCAAAGCATGTCTACGCTTTGGACGCTAGGTGTCAGTGTTAGCCACAAATTTTCAAAGCAAAAAAACACAGCACACGTCGGCATGAAGGGCGTTCATGTGACTGTGTTGTCAGGAGGGAGAGGAACAGCTGGAAATGAAATTACCAAAGCGAGTATTTTTGTTCTTGTGACTTGCCTGCGTCTTCTCGATAATTTGAGTCGGTCAACATCAGCTTTTTTCTTTATGTAAGGCAGAATTACCTTTGGCGTAGGTTCCCATCTCGGCAGACTCAATTACAGATCATAAGATGGTGCTTGGTGGAATCCTCATTGGCACATAATGGGGAGTGGAGAGTAGCATGTGGTGACATCCCTCCCTGTAGGGATTTATGTAAAAGGATGAGCCCCTACACCCAGTCTCTTAAAGGGAGCTTACAGCCACTTACTGTGCTTGCTTTTCTCTAAGCCTATAATGAACTATACATGGCATACACATTTTGTGAATTACATGAATTTTTTTTTAGCTTATATCAAGTCAAAACAAAAGGCTGCAAAACAAATTTTCATTAGAATTGCAGCAAATAGACGAGATTATACATGCTACCTGTTAAGAGCTTTTAGTTAGCGTTTGTTCTTTGTCAGACCAGCATTTTTTTTTGTTATTGGAACGCCTTACTTTGGCTTAAAATAAGACTGTAAATCTATCACATTGTTAAAGGTGAAATGGTTTATTTGAAGCCTAATGAGCCATAACATTATCAGGCTGCTGGCTAACTAGTATCCAGGGTAGTGTTTCTAGTGAAGTATTGTGCAAGTATAGCTCAGCAGAGTGAAGAAAGTGAAATACAGAAATCTGTATCCTGAGAAGACCCCTTGACTTGACACACTCACACAAGTGTCAGTGCTACTGTTGATGTGACGTGGCCAGATCATAGCCTGCTCTCTGCTTTTGTCTCAGGTCCAAAAACACAAATACGCTGGAGTGTGCACACATGCTCCTTAGTAGAAAAAAATGCAAGGAAAACCAAGACAGTTTCCACCAAAGTGTGCAGAAGAGGAGAGCCAGATGAACAAAATTACAGACCAGTTATGTAATGGCATACAATTTAGTACGTCCTCTGTGCACTCAGATGATAATTCCTGAATGGGATAGAATTATGCTTTGTAAATGTTAGCAGAGTTCAAATCAACTGATATGTACTGTATAGAAACTCTTAATAGTACACATTATCATATCTGTCTCGCAATCTGAGGTCAGTCTGATCCACACTTTTAGATCATTTTTACTTAGGCTACTGCTCCAGGCATCTGCAGCTTACACACAGCTTACACACAGTGTAAGTTGCAGACCATAATAAAGTTCAGATCATCATAGGAAAAACTGGTTCTTGATCAGCAGTTTGATTCCTGAGCCAACATCCATCAGTTTTGGCCCAGAGGGGAGATTCACTATGCATAAAAAAGCTAAAATGTCTCTGTGGATCTAAGGTGACTGAAGGGATAAGGGGAAAGTCTGATTTAAGTTGCAGTCTTTCTTTCTTTTTTAACTTTTTTAAAATTCCTCAGTGATGCAGAGCACCAGCAGGCTGATTGGGTGGGGATCCATGAAAAAATCTGTCAGTTGCTTATTCCCATTCGCACCCCAACACTCTTTAGTCTCCAGCGGACTGGCCGCATTGAAATACAGCTTAAAAAGGTGAGGATGTATGTGCATTCTTTTTTTTTCAAGGGAAATGTGGAGAAAAATATGAATTCTGTAAACTATATTTCCAGGCTATGTTTTTTTCAGAAGTGTGTCTGTGATTCATCTTTTTTGTTCAAATGCCCTATTGTTTAGTTTCTAAGTATTCTAGAGTTTATGCCTGGTATCTTGGCTTTATTTGATAATTGGAAGTCTAGAGATAGGCAAGTTGCAGTCATGTGCCTTTTACCACTTAGCAATGGGACACTCCAGGGTTTAGCTTTGTTAATTTCATATGACTGAAGTTGCCAAATCCAAACCTGGAGCAAGCAGTGAAATGGTAGAATTTACTGTCCAGCAACAAAAAAAATGCAATTCTCATGTAAACTGTGCTACCATTCAGGGAACAGTCATAGAATTTAGATAGCAAAAACACTCAAGAACCCCAGATCTTTGATGTCACTTCACCCATCTTAGAAGCTGAGCAAAAATGTTGAATAGATGTATTTAGAATAGATCTAGGTAGAGGGAAAACCAAGGAAGAAAAAGAGAAAGGAAATTTCATTAGAGCACTCTACACTTTTATAGTCTTGATTTTCACCTTTTATATGAACAGGAGTTTGTGATGTACTGTGACTGACATAAATTCAGAAAGCTGCACAAAAGACACGCTTTTGTTTTTCCATTGAACAAATCTCACAGAGAAGACACAACAGAGAATGTTTTCCTTCAATTCCAAAAGTAGAAAATAAAGATTTCCTACTGCAACTTAAATCAAGAAGTTTTGTGGTTTTCAGTGGACACAGAGAATTTTGGCTCTCAGTCTGGTCATGTAGTGTTTCCAGAGCCAGCTCCATCTTTAGTCATAGGATGTTACAACAGTGATATATACAGTATGCTAGTATTGAATATTGTTGTGATTACCCTTAGTTCCTGTGAATTGTTACACAATGTACCTGGAAGTCTGATGAGTTAATGTGGGGTAAAAGTAACCTGACATGTACCTTGGATTTGCTTCCTTGCTTAGGCAGAGCTGATTGAGATTTGCAGGTCAGTGGCTCAGAGCAAACTCTCTGAGGGGAAACACCAGGAGGCTTTGCCTGCTGCCCAGTTCTGCCTGTGCTGTTCCATGGATGTCCATGGCCCCAGTACTGTCGAACTGGTCCCCGCCTACCTGCTGCTGGCAGAGGCCAACATGGGTGAGGAGGGAGCACAAAATGGTTTCTCAGCTCAACTGGATTCCTTTCTCCTTCTCATGTGATGCAGAATGCATAACTGTGTGTGTGTGTGTGTGTGTGTGTGTGTATTTGTGTACATATATGTATATCTGTGTGTGTATTTGCATTTCCAGGTTTGGGTAATATAACCCTGGTGACAGAGCTCCTGTCCCAGGCTGAGTGGGCAGTCTTGAAGAGCCCAGAATGTGGTCACGCAGTCCACCATCGGCTGCACAGGAGCCTAGGCCGCCTCCACACAATGACTGGAAACCTGGAAGCAGCTCTACTTAACTTTGCAAATGATGTCTGTGTCATAATTAGTACACTCACCAGAAACAACTTCACTATATGAAGTATATTCAATTTTTCAGTAACTTTATTGGTATTTTGAGGAACACAATGAACAGATTTGTCTCACTGCTCGTAAATATTTTTAAACAAGTAAGATAAAGAGTGTGTGGTGTACATGTTTCTTCTCTCAGAATGTTCAATACTGTGCAATGATGTTCCTTACATGTTATCTGTATATACACATATATGTGTGGTAGTGTGTGTATGTATATATGTATATATATATATATATATATATATGTATATATATATATATATATATATACACACACACACATATATATACACACATATATATATACATATATGTATATAAATATATACATGTGTGTGTGTATGTGTTTGTGTATATTACATCATGTTATTAAGTTAAATTGTTGGATGTTTTCAGATACACTTTGCCAGTGAGGAGTATGGTCTGCATAGCACAGTCACTTGCAATGGCTACTTTCTCATGGCTAACGTGTTTGCCAAACAGGGGAAGATGCCCATTGCTCGCTCCTTGTACTCTGAGGTAAAATAAAGCAGTTATGATGTGATTGCCCATGTGACCAAATTTTTTTTCTAAGGTTTGTGAAGGTTTATCCTCCTTTGCTCATATTGTAGGTGGCAAATACTTGGCACTGCCATCTGACCAAACTCCTCAAAACCCACGTCCAAAATATCCAAAATCCTGACATGTTGTTGGAGCCCTCTTATGGTACGTCTTGTCACACTAAATACGGGCAATATAAATGTCATATAAATCTATGTATAAAATAATATAAAACCACACATTTAGGTTTTCTCAGTCTCCCCAGTTCTATCGTACCATTCAAACACAGTGCAGAATCAGAAAATGACATCACCAATCCATCATTTGCTCCACCTGCTAAACAGCAAAGAGCTCCATTGGCATATCAGTGAAAAAATAAGGTCAACAGTGCTATATTTAGCTGAGCTGTCTTGCTGTGCAATCCGAAAGCTAAACCTCAGATTTACACTAGCATGCTTAGGGCTGACTAGAGACCACTGCTGACACATCTCTGGCTGTGCGGCATCCGCACCACTACCCTCTATAGCAGCTGCTGCCCTACATATGATGCTAAGCCTGTTAGCTGCACTGCAATTTCCCAGGCTTTCTTGGATGTTCATTGAGGGAAAAATAGAGAACGAAAATATACATAAGACACAGATCTAAATTTTATTGACCTCTACAAACCTAGTTCATCTAATCTGTTGAAAGCTGTGTGAATTCAATGCATAAATACAATTTTTTTAAAATTGGTTAAGTGTATACTGTATTTATGTCCATGGTAATATACTGTAAAAACTTAAGAACATTTGCATCTTTGTCTTTATCCCTGACTTTTAATCAGACAAAGCCTGGCAAGTTGAAGCGGACAAGATGTTCAGAACCATGGTGGAGTTTGAACAGAATAACTCCAGGAAAGACTCTGCTCAGATCGCACTGGTGACCCACTGTCTGGCCATGCTGTGCTTTCTGGGAGGAGACTTCTTAAAGGTGAGTCACCTGATGAGGTCACCAGGCATTAAATGTTTACTTTGACACAGTGACACAGTTCCTTGTTTCCTCCGCATGTACCTCCTTTGGAGTGCCATCTCCAGATGGGATTATCTCTAATTGGTAAAGCTGTAAAGATGAGGTGGGATTTACCATGAGTTGATGTGACTGTCTCCACACTCTGACTTCCAGCTTGGTTTCCGGTGTCTCTGCAATGTCACTGGGGCTTTGTGTGCGTAAACTGCACCTCTTTCCATGTGGGATGAATGAGACAAAATCAAGTGTGTCATGCCAGGTGAAAGACTTAGGCAGCTATGGTTTAATGAATGGATGTACAGGAAGTTCTGTACCAGAGAGGTGGCTACTTGGAACACTTAGTGGACTTAAAACCTTGTTTGGGGAGGAGTAAAAAGGTCGGATGAGATCTTATGTCTAAGCTCAAGCTGCCTTACTGTAGCAATCAGTCAACATGTAAATAGACACAACGCCAGACAGTAACACAAATACAACACAGTCAGTTTATATGTTTGATTATTTCACTTTCATGTTTTTATCTGGTGGTTTTGGCTTCTGGTTGTTAGGACTGGGTGAAATATAGTTGGGGTTTTTCTTTTTTTTTACCTCATGAAAAGCTATACCACAGCTCCAAAACTACTGGAAAAAACTCAACATAGTCAAGTCTTTCTTTTTGATAAAATGGTGCCTTTTCTCTAAGGTCAAGATAGTCAACAGTTATCCCCTGCTGTTAAATACCCACTTGGCACGTGGCAGCTGTAGGAATAAGGATGAGGGCTCCCCATGCTTGGCTGATACCTAAGTTATCTATCCTGAAGATGCTTCAGCTGAGGATCTTTAATCTCCACAGGCAAATTCAGTTTTTGCTTGCCTTCCTTTACAGGGAGGTCATAGTGTACTATGTGTGTAGTGTACTGAACTGAACTTTGGAGTAGTAATGGCCACTTTTCCTCTTTAGTGTATTATGTGTGATGGTTATTTTGGTTTCAGTTTGACTTGTGGCCCTGGTCTGGTCCATGTCATGGCTCCACTGTACTATGAAAAGTATATCACTGTCAGAATGTAATGTTGTTATCATTAAGATGTCTTGTTATTATTGAGGGAATCGTGGTTAAATTCTTTCAGTTGTTATTGGTGAGTCAGGGTGCTGTCACAAGGATGGAAGAAACATTAGATAGAAGTGAATCAGACTGTTGGTAGATATGACACTAAACACACAAACACTTGAGTAACACACGTACAATGCGTATTCCAAGCTATTTATAAACCCTAAGAAACTGCAGGAATCCCATTGATGTCACTGCAAACCTCAATGAGTTCCTCATAGAGTTTGGTAAGTTTCCATCTTAGCACACATGGTTTTGTCACATATATCAAACAAAGTTTGACAACAAATTTTCTGTTATAAACTTTAAGACAGTGTGACAACCTGACAGATCAGCTTGGTGGAAGGGTAAAGTGGGATAAATTAATCAGTCTAGATTTCAGTGATGTTATTATATAAGTCAGCTTTACTCTCCCCGCAGAGTCTAACAGCTGCAGCTGCTGTGTTTGTTTCCGTTTGTTTCTGTGCTAGGCACTGGGATTTGGCAGCACAGCCCTGCAGGCCAGCCAGCTGATACCGAACCATGACCTGACAGAGCCCATCCAGGGCCTGTTGCAGCTAGTGAAGAGTCTGCAGACAGACCCACATCCTGGTCCTGACTAGTCAACCTTCCTTGCTCCTCCGTCTGCTTCAAGAGGGAAAACATATTAGGGGACATATCTCTAAGGAAATACAAACAATTTGATATTGAAAATGAGGAGAAGAGACATTTTCATTGGTTTTGAATAATGACTCATCTTTATTTTACTCTAAAAAAAGAGGGATATATATTTACATCATTTTGCACATTTGTGAATGACATGATTTTGGGATCCATGTTGTAACACTGTCAGAATGATACAGAAGAGAATAATAGTGAGGGCATTTGCTGAGACTTTTTTTACGCAATGATTTTGCTTATCTTGCACCTAGCAGTTCAGAAGCTCTTCATCAATTCACCATATGCAGATATAATTAAAGATAAGATTTCTAATGTCTATGTCATCAACAGAGAGCTGCATTATTTCACTGAAGCATAAACATTGGGTTTTCCTCCTGCAAATCAAAGTATATTGTAAACCTTAAAGCAAACCTCAGGTTTGTTTTAAAACACATTGACATAAAATGTACCTGATGATTGCTGTGAAATCCTACATATTATATACAATTCTGAAACATTTATTCTTTATATCAAAACAAAGAATCACTTTTAAAATCATCTCACTACTAGTGTTATTAGTGCTAAATTATATAACAAAATGCTTATTTTTGGCATTCAGATTCATTTTCATGTGTTGAGAGGCAGCAAAACACGGAAACACTTGGATTTCCTCATATTCCCTTTTTCATTTTTGAGCCAAATATACATTAGCAGCAGTTTGGAATTAAATAGCAACCTTGTGCTCTGTTGTGTTGTACACAGTGACTAGTCCAGAGGTCCTTACATGTTTATTCCAGGCTGGCTGAGCACCACACAGCTTTCAGTAATATTATGATTTACACACATTTATTTCTTGTTTCTTTCAGTAGTTTCCATGCCTTGTATCCACTTCATCATTGCCATTGATCTATAACTGAACTGAACTGGGACCATCACTCAACTGTGGTCCTCAAACCAGACAGTGAAAAGGCATTTTGAAAGTTGTTAGGGCACAGTTAAATGGACCATCAATGGCTTAGATGTGTTCTGTCTACATATGGATGATGTATAAACTACAGATTTGAATAACAGGGGCTGTAAGAGAGCAATGAACATTTCACTCGTTCTTATGGCTGGCTTTTTCATGTCTTGAAAGGATATGAGATCTTTGATTTACACTTATGTACACAGTGTGGAATGACGCAGGCTTCAATACAAAGACAAAGACTCAAAAAAATAGGGGACAACAACAACTGGAGATAGTTCACCCATATCAGCTTTGTTGGGATGTGACTTAATGATCAAGCTCACCGGCCCTTGCATGTCAGGAGAGTGAGCTTCAGCGGATTTCACAGTTTTGGCTGTCAGATACTTTGATTATATAGATACCGGACAACATCACAGTAGTGTAAATGATGTTATTCTCTCAGTGGAGCCACTGTGATCACTTGACAGCAGACTTTAAAAAAGCTGCCTTTCCTGTTGTCTGGTGGGTTTAGATTTGGCACCCTCAAGCAGGCCCCTTTTAGATTCCAGACAGTTGGTAAATTGGCCCACAAAGAAAAGGAAAATAAAATCAAGCTTCACAGCGGTTTCACTTTATTGAGACAATATTAGTGCACACAAACCACTTTTTTCTTTAAAAATACCATAAATTAGAGAAGAAAACAAGGAACAATATAAAACAAGCAAGGAAAAAAAGTGCATGTTAACCATGGTATAGCTACACCACATTGTCTTATACTGTAGTTTACAACCTTTTTTTCATTCTTGTTTGTGTGTCTTTTTGTCTGCCTGTGGGTATGTGTTATGTTGTTTCAGGTGTATGCTTGGATGGATATGTCGTGCATTTGGGGGTCAGGGGTGAGATCCAGGCTGCTTCCCTGAGTTGTGTTCAACAGAAGGGGTTACAAGCCTAAAAACATGGACATTACTACGGTGTGCTTTTGATCAAATCTGTAAATTATTCTTAATGAACAGCAGTCACCCCAAAGTACGCTCATTGCTGATAGTTATTTCAGAGGGCGTACAGGAGGTAAATCAAGAGGAACAGAAAACCATAGGCTGTAAACTCTTGGTTGCTGAAGTCTTTTCTAAGGAAAAAGATTCTATTCAAAGAGACTGCAAAAATATAGTTTCCATTTTTTATTTGTACATCATGCCAACATATTTTTTGGGTTAAGATACTTGTTGAAAACAATAAAAGTAAAATCTACAAAAATCATGACTGAGAAATCACATCTAACCAAATCCAGAAATGTTAGCACCAAATTTCAATTTCAACCTTTCAATATTCCAGGTCTGTACAAACAAGTTTGTCCACAATAGCTTATGAATTTCAATGTTGGCAGTTATTTCAGCTGTTCCAGTTTCATCAGTTGGGTACTATTATGCACTGAAGCTAATTCACTACCTAAATATTTACAAAAAGCTAGAGAAGAAATAAAAAATAATGAACAACTACCTTTTCAGTTCCTAGACACAAAGAGAGGAAACAGCTGGTAAATCAGGGGCCATGAGGATCCTGGCTGATATGTACTGTATGTTTGAATATCTCTGTCTTTCTATGGCAGTGAGAAGTTTTTGAGGTATATTTTGCTTGCAGGTGTAGACGCAGGTTTCACACTCTGTCTCATGTTTCCTAAATATGTCATCTGAGTGAGAGCAAAAAATGCATCTGTTTATCATATCATACTGTTTCATATAAAGTGCTAGACATTGAATGAATTTTAAAAAGCAGCAGACTGCTGCTGCTGGTAAGGCTAATCAAACAAGCTATCTAGGAATGTAAAATTAAAAATCGAGCAATGGCACTCAATTCATTTTTATATTCCAGGTTATAACTCTTCAACAGAACTGCTATGTGTTATCTAGTACCTTTCACAGGTTCAGGCAGTTTTGCTTACTTTTGAATTAGCCTGCTTCATTCACAGTGAACAGAGAATTCATTTGTAGACACCATGTTACCATCCAGGATGATTTTCTGGTGCTATGGTTAATCTGGGTAAATAATATTCTTATTTACGCATGAAAGGTCATATATCCGGCTACCACAACATCAGCCTCTTATTCACTGTCAATGTAGCAGCTCAAGCTACATTTTAATTCCAAACTGGTATTCTATGGATTTTAAATTATAGAATTATTCATGTTAACCTGGTTAAAAAAGAAATAAAAAACATTGTGTATACATTCTGTTTTAGCTGGATTTACAACATATGAGATGTGACATGTAGTGAAGAGTGAATTCATCTCTCAATATCAATTATTATTATGAATTATGAATAGCATTAAATTTCATGAGTTTCCTCCATCTCCAGTTGCTGCAGGATGGTCCCCATCCTGTTCTGTGTCCTTGACAGGAGCACAACATTGCTACATTGGAACTGACAGTATAATGTGCCTAGCATGAGGATGTATTCCTCTCCCAAGGAGCTAACCACTTGAAAAAAAAACACTTCATTTCGCCTCCAATCCACCAAACCTGACTACAGTCTCAGCACAAAACCCATTTTTATGTCAACATAGATTCTCCTTCAAATGTTACCGTGTTGTGAAGATAAAAACATGGCAGGTGTATGCCTTTATGGGAATCCCACACCCACCCAAAAACCTTCACCCTTACTATTTTGCAAAACAGAAACTAGAAGAGGCAGTTATCTCGTGTACTATATCCCACTCTCGCCACCATGCTGCAGTGTAAGCTAAGTTTGGATTGTAGGGTTTGCAGGTTCGGACTAGAGGTGCAAAGAGAGGAGAGTCAGGGGAGCAGCCTCAGATCTTTGTTTTTTTGTGTGTATTTTAAGGGAGTTAGCAGGAGAAGCTCATGTTTTGGTGTTTGTGTTACTGTGGTTGTGTCTGTGTGTGTTCTGTTTTCTCTTAGTTTTGCATTTAAGATCATATGTTTTTATAATTTTTGGATTGATATGTGTTTAAAAGGAATGTCTGTTGCCATGTGAACAGGTGTGTGTATGCGTGTCTTGATGTGTATTTGTGGTGTTTGTGTGTGCATGAAGCCGCTTGAATCTCACTCAGTCAATAACTTGATCTCGTTGGCGAGGAGGGTGTTGAAGTTGTAGGCAGGATCGGGGAGGTCAGGGAGATCGGGCAAGGTGGGGGCTGTGGACTGGCGGGGCGAGGACTGGGAGGGCTCGGCTAGCTCCGGGTCACTCTCACTGGAAGTAGAACCAACGCTCATGTTGCAGACGGCCTCAGGCAGCGAGCCGCTGCCAGCGGGCACAGGGCACACCTCAGGCTCACTGCTGGTCTCGCTGGTACTTGACACGACGGACAGCAAGGACATCTTCCGGGTGAGGCGGCTGGGGAGCATCGACAGGGCGTAGTCGGCAACAATGCCTGCCACATCCATGCCACAGGCCTGGTCGAAAGCAATGAAGCCCACATTGGCATTGGCCTCGCAGACCACAAATGAACCGTCATTGAGCTGCAGGAGGTCAATACCACACACATCCATGCCCAGGATGTTAGACACCTCTATGGCCAGCTGCTTGCCCTGCTCGCTCAGTGGGCACATCATACCTACACCACCTAACAATCAAGAGAGAGAGAGAGGTTAATACCCACCACAAAATGTGTTTCATTCACTTCACATTGTGAGAGACTGACCATAACAACTTTCATCCAGATTGTTAAATGGCATCTTTTATGTATCAAGGGTAATCATAAAAATATATGTGATGATTTAAGAAATATTTCAAAATATTTTATATCGTTAAATACCACATCAGATCCACCTAGAGTATGTCAAAGTGTCAACATGATCTGTTACATAAATGCAGAATAAGCTGGTGACTGATGTCCTAAATATGTCACAGCGTATTACAGCCTCAACTAGACCAAAACTGCTCATGCTCTGACATTGAAAATCAGTCTCATCGGCTGGAATGCTGTGTCATTTGATGTCTTGAGGGTAGATTCAGGACAAGCTTGTAGATTTGGAACTGTTCCCCAAAACTGGTCTGTGGAACAGATGGAATGTTATACTTGAAAAAAAATCTAGAAAGATGCTGTGACTGACTGTAAAATAATGTCCTCATGTACAGGAATGATTAGAACAATCTAGTGACCCTCCAATGTGGCACACAAAGCAAGAGCTGTACAAAATAAAAATTTCTTTTTGTTTTTTTAAAGGTGTTTGTTTATAATTAATACATATCTATTACTTTTATAATTCAAAAAGCTCTTAAGTCAGTTTGTGGAAGGAGCATGGAAACTGCTTACAAACCACCCTGTCTCCAGATCTTAATAATAACCAGACTAGTTTTAGTTCCCCAAGAACAGTGCTGCCATTTATCTCAGATCTCATATGATCCAAATAATCAGAACATTAAAAGCAACCACATTAAAAGTAGACTAGTCTTGCAAACTTAAGAACCGTTTCAGTATAGCAGTGCAGACGCTGTTGTTTTTGGTAAGTGTAATGAGGGAAAGGGTTCAGTCATGTAATACGTGTGATAGTGTTCAATAGTTGAGTAATTTACTGTCATCTCTGACTCTCGGGCATCTGCCTACCCAGGGAGCAGTTGCTCTGCATGCGACCATCAGTGGAGCAGCGAAGCATGGAGCCAATGACACGGCCGCCCACCAGGACCACCCGCACATCACGACCGTGCGACTCCTTGACATACTCCTGAAACAGGTAGGGGGTATCATGGCGGATCAAGTGGCACAGGTCTGTCAGGTGGTGTTTGTCCCGTGCCAGGAACACAGCCTTGCCTAGGAGAGAGAAGGAGACGGGAGATTAGAGAAAGAAAGAAAATGAGCTACGATAACTGAAGCTGTTTATATTAACATGAAAAGAAGCTGCTTGCACTGTCTGACATTTGCGCAATATTAGTTGAGGTTGCATTACTTCTTCATTGTCTTTCCTGACAAGTAGCTGCTTTTGCTGACCATGTCTCATGCCAGTTTCTATTTCTCATATAAAGGACAGGACACAGCTCTTAGCAGCCACAGAATTGATTCTCACAGAGGATAGAAGACGCCTGTTTTAATTAGCACCGCTTGGCTCTGTCTTCTGGTTGTCAAGCCCTCTGACCCCTGTTCCAGCACCAGGGAAAATCATGTGGTTGCTGTGTGTGTACGTGCACATCGTGTGTGACTAACAATCCAAACGAGATGACAAGGCAATCCCTTGGTAATATCATGAAGATGTGAAGATGGACAGTGGCAGGCATGATGTAATACTTTACAAATCAAAAGCAAGACAAACAAGGAATCATGCTCCTGTGACTCAGTGAGACACATGTGCAATGACTAGTTTGTACAGAAGATACTAAAACATTGGAGAATGTGCACCCAAAGGCATACAACATTTCACATCCCAACGACTGGGCAGGGAGAGCACATGAAATTTAAATTGGGGATCTATTAAAGAGCTGTTAATACCAATGATTCTTAAGATTTTGAAACAGTCACAAGCCTTCATACTTCCTCATGAGAAGAAAGGCAAGCTGGACTTCAGCCAATGTCAACGGTCAACCACAGAGGGAAATAAAGCAATTCTTGAGACGCCATACTCCATAAAAAGTGGTTGACCAACGGCTGCTTTCCCTAACAATGCGCTGTGATGGCAGGCTGTGCTAGCCAAGGTCCATTGTCATTCTCTCACACAATGGCAGAGCCAGTCGAGTGTCGATAACTATGAATAGGAAAGGGCTAATGGGTCAGCAGACACTGGGGCTGATCTCTAGGAAGCACAACATCTATGGCAAGGCTGAAAACTTCCCACACAAGCCCCCTGTGAATTTAGGTAAAATGATTTGAAAACTAGAAACAAAAAATTTCTGTGAGCATTACAACTTCCTGTTGTGTGTTTCTTGTTGTAATCATTTAACAGTGTGGACTGATCTGCCATTACGGGCCTGTAGTGGACCGATTCTTGAGGTGTGGTGTAGTTGTAGTTGTGTAGCTGGGGACAGGAAGAAACAGACTGATGGTCTTACCTCTGTGGCCGCGTGCATTCTTCACCACCACTGGGTAGCCCAGTGGCTCTGCCTCATCAATCATCTTACGGAAGTTGTCGTGTCCTCCTGGAAATCGCCCATGCACACATACAAAAAGCAGGCACACATTTACACACACACACACACACACAAATATGCACACACGCAGAGGTGTAAAAAAAAAACAAATAATAATAAAAAACTTGTCCATGTCTTGACAGCATTGTTCACACATAACAGCTGATCACGCAGGGTTGGGGGGAGGGACTGTAGCCTGTCGCTATGGCAACAGAAGTGACTCAAAACAGCAAGACTATAGGAGTGCTTTCCTGAGATTATACTTATTTTGCTGCTTTATTCATGAGATTGGAACAGAGCAGTCACTGAAGAATGCATTAATGTGAAGCAGCTGACCATATCTAACACTGATTCATAACAGCAGCATGTAGCAACAGATGTGCTTAAGCTTCTTCTGCTTTGGCTTGACAGGCGATTGAAAAATGTGTTAAAAAAAATTGAAAAATGGAGGTGTTGGTGGACTTCTTTTCCCTTACTTTCTCCATCTCCACTTCCTTCTCTCTCTCTCTTTCTCCCTCTCTCTCTCTCTGTTTGCCTGTCTGGTCTTCTGTGGCATTCGGTCAAGGGAACAGATGTGAACTACCCTGTCACATGGCTTTTTCCAGATGCACTGATTCACATGTGTTTTCGGTGAGAGGGGGTAGAGCTGAGCGAGCAGGGGAGGGGAGAGAGTGGACACCAAATGAGGGTTCGACCACGTCATCACGTCATAAGCTGCTGAGGTGGTGAACAGGAGGGAGGCGATGGCATTTTTTATTTTGAAAAATCATGAGGGGGCATGGGGTGGGGCGTTGTGGGGTGGGGTGTGGGGGGTTGGGTGGGGGGTGGGGTTGTTACATAAGCTCTCCAGCCGCTCTGCATGTATCGCCTGGCCTACTGTGCAGAGACGAATGGAATGTAGGCCAAACATCCCCCTCCTCTTTCTTTCTTTCTCTCTGTCTGTATCCTTCTCTTTCTGCTCTCACAAACACCAGAGCACTGTGGACTTTTGCAAAACAGAAAGAGAAAAATATCTGGTGATGCTCGTCACTCTTTGTCTGGCCTTAAACAAATCAACTGCAACAAACAAACAGTAGTCTTTCTTGTGTTATGAAGGCTGCATCCCTACACATCCTGCCTTTCTCAATAGTACGTAAAAAAGCAGTGAACTTAGAGAAATTGTAAAAATCATAAGTGGTTTGGTGGACAGCTAAGAGGATTTGACCAGGTATGTAAATGGGATTTTCTCTTTGCTGTTTGAGTAATTGCAGTGGAGTAGTGATTGTCTGACTAATGGCTTATTAATCTGTTATACAGCCACATGAGGACTAAAGCCTGTGGTGCAACTAATGTGATTGAAATGTCAACATGCTTGACACAGCAGTTCTGGTGTTGCATGTGAGTACTCATTTGACCGTAGATGATGCATATATGTTCCCTTATGATTTCTTTAGGCATACTTATAGAAAATATTTATATCTTATGATTTGTTTCACATAATCTACTGTTTGTTTACTCAGTTTTACTTAATTTGACTAACTCACCATAATCTCACTGACCTAAGCAGTAAAAGCTGTGCATAAAAGTTTCAGTAAACACTACACATGATGGAAACAATTCATAAAGAAACTGATGTACAGAGGAATTTTGAAGCTAGGTTGAAAGGGGATGGTGGGTCATCATATTCATAGAAGAAGTTGTCCAACGGGTGCTGTGACGGTGTGTTAGGGTCTCTGTGTTTATTTGCTTGTGCATCTTTTTATGTATGTAGAGAATTACAGTCTACATTGTATAGTCTGCACAGTGTGTGAAGGGCCCTACATCAGGGACAATGCAACATGAGCAAGTAGTAAAAACAGTAAATGCAGTATAGGTTAACAGGCAAGCATCACCCAATTCAAGACATGTACTTGCTGCCCACACACTGGGAAGTAGATTTATTAGTAAAGTCGGTTACATTACACATTCATCATCTGACTCGTTGATTATAGTCATGGAGGAGCACAGCTACAACACAACAACACTGTGCTACCAGATATACATCAACACTGTGAGAAAGATAAACGTCAGGTACTGGTTTACCGTAGGAGAAGGTGTCAGGAAGAGGCACCCCATGGCCGGCCAGCTCCTGAAAGGTCCAGAATTTGTTGACACAGTTGAGTATAGCCTGGGGCCGGTTGATAAGCCGGCAGCCCATCTTCTCCAGGTGGCGCAGCACAGTGATGTCACTATCTGACTGCACCCAAGGTGTGGGCACCCGCACCACCACCACTTGTGGATAAGATGTCACCAATTCCTGCTCCACTCGCAGACCTGGAGGGTTAGATGGTGGTGAAGGAATGGAAGGAGAGCCATTAGACCAGGAGTCTGCAACCTTTACTATTGAAAAAGCCATTTTTGGCCCCTCTCCCACAAATAAAAATCATCTGAAGCTGCAAAACCTATTCGACCCTTAAAAGGAAGATAACACATCGTTAAAGTTTTATATATAGTTATACTATATATAAAAGAACTATAGTTTATTGCATTTATGAAATTATAGAACTACAAAAAAACTGTTGACATTTTGTTACTGTTTTTACCTGTTATAATAAAGGAAAACACCAAGCTCTTATAGGCATGTGTATGCCTACTTTTAAATAAAACACAGAACTATGCAGGTCTGTTTGAGTCCTTCTCTTATTTGTGAAGGATTAAAAAAATAAAATGTAACCCACTTTGAAATAAATAAAACATATAGCTGCAGCCTACTAGCTTTAAGAAGAGTAAACATAAGAACAGGCCAGGTTTTTTCTCAGAGACTTTTCTTTTTTTTTTCATTTATCCATGGTTACCTTACCGGAGGTCCGAAACTCAAGATTAGCCACCTATCGGCGGGAGGAAGAGGTGGTAGGCTGTAAAAGTTGCTATGGAGACGTTGTAAGATGTGACGTATATTTTTGTACGAAATATTATCAGTATCACCTCGATCTCCAAAATATGAGGTGCTCTCTTTAAAATAAAAAATAGAAATAAAATAAAAAATAGCTGTTATTTATTTTCATATTATTTCAGTTTTTCAAGGCTACAGGGAGCCAGTGCAGAAGGGCTGAAGAGCCGCATGCAGCTCCGGAGCTGCGGGTTGCCGACCCCTGCACTAGACAGAGCATTTTACATGACATCCCAAAAGTCATATTTGCAGTAGATGGAAACATTGTGAAACTGGTTAGTGATTTTTTTTTAAATCCATCATCTACTGGTGGAAAAGTTTACTGCTCTTTTGGAGACTGTGGACATTTTTCCCAGTTGTCACCACACAGCTCTGACTAAGAGTTGGCCAGGTTACAACACCAGACAGGGGCAGCCAGCTCCAAGGCCTGTGGTGTTAAGCCATGAATTTGGAACGTGCCCTGCCTGTTGATACGATTATTTACATGCTGCCCATACCCATATACAGTACTCCCCTGCAGTGATGCCAGCTCCTCTGACTTTCGGGCCAATACTATCTTCCTCTCCTGACTGAGAATAGATATATTTGCTGGTAAACTGGCACTGTACACTACTTGGTCTCAATGTAGGGCAGTAGGGTAGGGAGAAATGTCTGAAACCCCAAGGGTGCATTGAATTTAAGCCCACATTAACACACACCAGGGATAAGGGTATTGTTAGTAACACTATATTGCACAGTATGCAACAAAATATTTGTTCTGCTTAGGTCTTTAAAAAAAATCTGGATGTTTCTGACAACAATCTAGTCCACTATTCCTTAAATTAAATGTTGATAATCCTGTCACAATGAAAAATCATTGTTATCTAGTGGCTGTTACCTGAAATCCGTGGTTTTGTTTTATTGAAAGTCAAATTGGCTTTAGTTTTCAATCTCTCAGCCCGACATCACTTTTTTTTTGATGCAAATGTGAGCTAATTAAAAACAATAGGCTGCCTAAACACATCTGTAGAGGTTACTGATCAGCCATTTCAATGCAGCACAGCATGTATAAGCCATGGACAACAGGGGAGGCAGGACAAAGAGAAGATTGTGCAGTATGATGGTGAGAATCAGGCTGGTATGACACCAACTTTTCTACAAGGCTAGAAATCTGGAGGATTTCAATATTCAGTAGCTATCTCCAGTCTCTATCAGCAGCGATCTGGATCTACAGAACAGAACAGGATTTCGAGGTAACAGAATGTTGGCTTGATATTTATAAAAAAAACAGATGGCAAATTCACTAGCCATAGCCAAAGATTTGGCAACATTTTAACGGTGACTGGTGTTACTTTGTCACTCTGGATGACAAGAGGAAACAGAGACAAAGTGTGAGATTTTTGAGCAGGCGGTGTGACCCGACAGCTAATCAGGATGAACAGACTGGGTGACAACAAAACCTGTGTAAACGTGCGGGTATGCACATATACTGTATGTACGAGACAAAGAGAGACATTTGTCACTGGTACAGAACTTTACCTGTACTGTAACAATTCAGCCATCTTCGAATCTGCAAGTTAACAGTAATGACAGCGCCACTGGCTGAGATCATCAGATGTCACAAGAAGCTTGATGGCTGCTGCATACATAACAACAGGCAGGCAGCTATTGGTGTGCCGACGGATGCACTGTGCATCAAGCCTGCATAGCACGCATCTTGCACGTACTTTGAGTTGGATCAACACTTGTTCTTAGGGTCATTCTGTGCACAGACAGGTTAAACAGGGGGGAGAAGGAGAAAGGTAGCAGGCAGAAAAGGTCAGGGATGTGTTATAGCCTTAACGCAGAGGATGGGAGGGAGGGGCGGGGGAAAACCGAGGCATATGAAGCTGTGAAAAGCCAACCACTCCTCCTTTTTTTCTCTTCCTCACAATCTCAGTATAGAAGCAGGAGGATTTGCTGTCTCTCTAGCCCTATTCAACACTCTCACACTGCTGTGATTGTGCAGCCACTGAGAACGCAGTCAGTGGTGTTACAGTGGGAAGTGTCGGGGGATGTGGTCTCATGGTTTTTGACAGACAGTATTCACTGTTCACGGTGCTCATCGCATCTCCAGGGGAACCAAACAGAGACCAATGAGGCAGCCAGATGAATCAGTCCTATTCATCTGTGCAAGTGTTCGTGTGCACTGCACTGTCCGTCATGTGACCATCGCTTAAACGCTCAGAAACCCTCCTGACCATTTTGGTGTATAACAAAGGCAATTGTGGGACAATTTCTAAATTTAGTGTGTGTGTGACCTGTTTATAGTTACAACCGATGGGATTTTTCTTACCTCAATGACAGACCGTCATGTTTTCGTGCTTCAATGAACTGTATATGTGTGTCCCATTTTCAATCTGCCTGACAAAGCTAACAAGCATAACAAGCATTCTATGCATACCGCTGCAACGTCACAAAGCAGGCGATGCCGACAAATGCGGTGCCAATATTTGGCTGGTGGGTTCTGCCAGCCCCGAATGCTGTCTCACTTTGGGTCTGGGTATACTTTCGAAAATTAGCCTGATGGGGCAGCAGGTTTCCCCATGGTTTCTCCCGGTTAGGTTTGGGCTAACAATGCCTTCAATGGTCTATTTGCATATCTGTCATCAATACACACATCAGACAAAAACATATACTGTAGGCCTACTGTGAGGCCGGGCAAAAAATCTTTTGTTCATCGATCACAGGGGCCATGTAAACCTGCATGTCCCCTGTGACTTAGCCTGTGCACTGTGTAGCTGCTAGCTACTTTGGCACTGACAGTACTTGAACTAACCGAGGCAGATAAGACAACAAAAGAATCAACATTGAATGGCAGGTAGAGAGCTCGACAAACACATTAAACTGCCACAGAACATTAAATACAGTAGATCAAAGCCAGAACACCAACATTAACATTAACTGTAATTATAGTCACCTTTTATGTGTCTGCTTCAAGGCTGGGAACTATTTCAGCTTTACTGTGCACTATACTTCAAATGAGATTCAGCATGATCATATGATGACACCTAATTCTGTTACCTAAATGACGAAGCTCTGAAAAGTGTGAAACATTTTCATGAATTTTTTTTGAAGATATCAGTTTTGTTTGACATCACACTTCACAGCAACATACAGTTCAATGTGGAGAACATCAGTTTGTTTATTTAGATGTTCTTTGGCATGTACTGTAGTGATGCAGCAATAATGTCAAAACCCCAAATATTCCAATATATATGTTCATTTATTCATATATGCATAGAATAAAACACATTACTATCAATACTTATGAGTAATACTTGTTATTATCAGTTTTGTTGTAGTGAATAGAGGAGAAAGTGCTTGGGTGAGGTGGCAGAATGAGTCTGTACTTTCTTGCCAGGCTTTACTAAACTTAATAACCTGAGAGAGTGTTGCTTCTCTTGTGGGGGGTGTCACTCATGTGACACGACAGGAAAATCAAAGAGGGAAAGTGCATTATAACTAACATTCGAGGGTTTGTGATCACCTGTTGCCTATTCCTACCACAGTTTGTACAGTGACACAACATCATTCAGCATCAGGAAGTATGAAGTTATAAGGTTAAGAGTCTGGTAATCATAGAGCAAACGCTGTTCTCTTTGGCCACTGCAACTATGCAAATTACAAACACAAGTGCTTATTTGCGGTATGACCATGTATAAAAGGAAAGGCTGGACATTCACAACAGATAGTCAGATTTAGTATGGAAAGATATGTGAGCCACCCATGCACTAATAAGTATCTGCTACTCTAGGAATAGTGCTGTTACCCCATAACCTTAAAAATAAAAGTGACTAAAACCTTTCAGGGTGTGTCAGGCATTATTGTTGCCATTTGAAATATTAGCTCTCCGCCTGGTTGGCACAAGTTGTACCTTAGAGACAATATGTACACTATGTTTACATTCTATATGTATAAGTACATGGTTGAAATAGCATGTAAAAATGCTAGCGTTGTGTGGTGATATATCAATATATGTTTTCTGTGGAGGCCTCTTTCCCATCTAGAGGAAAAAGCATGTGGCGTGAGCCTCTTTGGCAAAACCAATAAAATGCAAATATTCATGTCACAGGCCGCATGCAACAACCTGCAAATGAGACACTGCTGCTTAATTGGCAGACAAGCTGTTTTCTTGGAAACTAACTTGTGTGATCAAGTCATAGTCCCTGTAACTGTACACTCTTTTTAGTACCTTAACATTTGTATTTTAAAAATGTTAGTTTGTGGCAAAGAACCTAGTTCTTTATCCAAAGTGTGGGGAAAACAACAACAGTAGGATATACCCATGTTATTACTGCGATTAAGACCCATTACATCTCCCTAAAATATGAATCCTTTTTTTAACCGTCTATAAAATAACAGACAAGAGCTTGTAGTTGTACTCCACACTGCTGATCATCATATAGTCTAATTTCTAGTTTCAGAAACAACCAAACAAGGCTTGGCATTAAAGCTACAGTATTCCACCAGCGTGTATGTTGATGCTCATACACACTCAAATGTCTAGTGGTAAATTAAGATACTTAGCCTGCATCAATGTGCCATCTTCCCATTCACTGACACAGGAGCGTTGCATTTATCATCTTTGAGGTAAAAGTGTGCCCACTGGCATGCACAAGGATCACAGAGGATTGTGACATCAATTCATATCCGGTCCCTGTTTAAACATCTCACAGCACAAGTCATGGGATGTGAAATACCTCCAGCTAGCTGAATGCTGGGTTTGGCAATCTTATGTGAGGGGCCATCATTGGTCATTAAGACATAACGGCGTGTGCTTGTGCATGTGTGTATTCATCTCTCCGCCTGAGAACACGCTGAACCCATTAACTTCAGTGTGAAACGTGGACCTCAACCTGACTTGAGAGCACACAAATGAGCCGAGAGAATGAGAAACCTTTGAAATAGCAAGTTGTAAAGGTGTTATCAGTTTTAGGATTGTGATTGCACCCTGACCTACCTTAAAACTATGTGTGCAAGAACTTATTTTGGTTTGGGTGGTTAATGTACCATCTACTTCTGGTGGAAAACCTGTCTTTATCACTCCCGTTTCCAATATGATCGTTACTTTAAAATGCCATGTATTCATTTTGGGCCAAACTGTTTCCTGTTAAATGCTCTAAATATTGTTTTGTAAATTAATTTCTGAAACAGCTTGTTTAATTAATATTATGGGACATGTAGATGTCACATTTATACAAAACTCATTCATAGTGCTGGTGAATTGCTCTAACCACTTGATGGTCAGTGACCACAGGGGCATTACAGATCACATGATGGTGAAATACCACTTATATTTCCAATATAGAAACATTAAAGCTTGCAAACACTTGCTGATCATCTCATTCCTCGCATGTGTGGCTGTATTTCCTGATTTTTATGTTAAATTCCAGAACAGCCTTAACTTGTTTATTGCCTCTGGTACTTTATGCTAAATGCTTATCCTAATGAAGATACATATACAGCCTGAAAGGTTATGCATAAGACATTAGCAACTTGATTTTAATAAAGGTGATGTGGTCAAACGGCCAATTCCTGTATGGATTTTGAACTGGAAAGTGCTTTCTGACTCAAAAGATTCTGTACTCGAGGTGTAAATGAAGTGTGGGTAATTCATATCTAGATAAATGCTAGGTGTACACAGCTATTATGCACCTGAAGACCCCAGCCACCGAGCATGTACTCGACAGCTTCCTGTGTAGTGAGCCTACTGTGTGGCCAGTCTGTCCACTGACTGTTAATCTGTGATGTCAAGCCAAGGCTCAGAGGACATTTACCGTATGCACGATTTGGGGCCACCATGGATTATAGGTCATGCTAACAGCCTTGCTCTAGATGTTTGTATCTTCCTAAGCTACAGGTCTAGACAGCCGACTACCTACCTATCCGTGTTGGCTAATATACTCACCTTTTCCAGGTGTCACCTTGATGTGCTTAGCACATTATGTTATCTACAGATTAGCCTATTTTTTAGGTCAGATTATCTAGCCATGGTAGAAAAAAGTATGTAGTATGAATGTGATGTAATTTTTCATGTGGCGGGTATTCTGTATAAATGCTGCAAATAAAGAATTTGTTTATACTCAGAAATATTCACTTGGCTGTACAATGGTACAGTATGTGAAATATATGTAACATCTTAAATGCCTTGCCTTACACTTAAACACTTCACTGTCTGCATTTTAAACTCCTTGCTGAGTATAAAGCTTTGCCATGACTGAACTGTGCAGTAGCCCCAATGTAACAGTATGAGGTAACAGTATGTAGTCTGTGAAAAACATGCTGCCCTCTCTCACCTCTGTACATCCCACATCTTCTCCCACCTATTCAGCCTCTGTTAATGCCAGCCTACACCCTTTATGTGTTAATTGAGACTTACACGCCTCTCATCTGGTGACACAGCCCCACTTCACACCACCCTGATGAATTCCATGTGTGTCTGTTTGTTGAGTGTTCCTACTGCTACCATCACTTTATCAAGGGCCCCAATACTGTGAAATGTTGTCATATCATAACAAGCAGAACACAATGTGTCCTGGACAAAACTGTCCAAAAATGGCAACAAAAGACTAACTGAAGGTGTGCCAATACAACTCAAAGTAGGTAGAATACACAAGGTAATATGTACAGAAACCCTGAAACAGCGGTGTATTAGGCTTAAGTTGATACATGGTTAACTGATTTCAGCTTTGATCATCAAAGTGCCATTTTAGTTATCTGTCAAGTAACAACAATAAACAGGTCTACAGATGCAAAATGTGCTTCCTCTAACCTCAATACTTGTTTGCTTCTGGTTAGACAATAGAATCACTTTTGATACTGCTTAAATTTGATGTCAAATCTTAACATTTTATACATATTAAATATTAATTCTACTTGTCACCCTTTCTGTTTGAGTGACAAGTTTACATGTGTGTCTCTCCGGGATATTTCGAGAGGAAATTTGCCTGGTTGCCAGATGTCCACATGAAAACCCCAGATCAACAATTGAGAGAATATGCCAAAACCTACAGCTTCTGCCTTAGAACGACGTAATGTGCAGTAAAATTACAACAGCTCAGTTTCATTTTACTAGTAAACTAATATGATTTAATTACTTGGCTTCTGTTATATTCTAACTATTTCCCTGTTGCTTTGGGTTAATCCTATCATCCGTTGTTGGGAGTGCAACGCATTCAGCGAAATTAAATCAAGCATCATCGCTCGCCTCAGTCTGCAGGCACTCTAGCTGGAAAGTGGGTTAGGCGGTCACGGCTGTGCTTACACTTGGCTTCCTTGCTAGCAGGCAGACCGGGCTAGCCCTCCCCTTGCCTCACGGGAGTGTAGTCCCCAAACAATAACCGTCTGCCATCGACTTTGTGGACCGCGTAAAGCACTGTTGATCTCAAATAACCCAAGTTACAGTACACCATTAACTTCCAGTTTACGACCAGTCGTCGACTGCTTTGATTAACTGAGTGATACTTGCCTAGTTGTCCCTCGCTGATCGTAAGCACGATTTGATCCATGAGAAGAGAGCGGAATTCAACATCCTCGTCGGCGCAGCGCTCCTTCAGTGCCCGGAGGATCTGAACTTGGGGGTACTCCTGGCTGATACGCCGGTCGGTCACGAACCAAACCCGAGAACACATTTCGGATGCGTGGATTCAATAAAGTTACAAAAAATCCGGCAGAAAACACACAGTTGTAGCTGTGGGAGGCGGCAGGTGTGCGGTGGTAGCGCGGGATCCGGGGGTCGGGCGGCAGCGGAATAGCACAGAGATGCTCACACAATGGAGACCTCGGCGGCTAGCGGTGCGAGCAGGCTGTGATGTGGCTAAAAACAGGACCACGACTCAACCGCTGTTTGGGCCGAACCGGCTAGGATGAATAATCTTCTTTATCACCTTTGTTTGCCTTCATTTGCAGCCATTTAGTCCTCCCAGGGCGCAGTTAGACGAACCCAGACCGCGCCAATTCGACACAGGCGGGCCAAAAAATTAAGGTATTTCTACCCACAGAAACTTGCCTGTCAAGAGATACACGTCTCGGCACAATTTGCCCACCGGGGCAGACAAAGCTCAGGCGGTTCTGCTTTATATCGTCCTCTTGTCGACTCAAAACTATCAATAAAGTTTTCTCGTGATCGCGGCGGTTATACGGCGCTGCAAACCGCAAAGTCGTCGGGTTTATGACAATAAACTAAGCTAACCCACAACGACTACCCTCTCGGCTTCGTTTGGCTGCTATCCACGAGGTATTGGTGCTGAAAAGTGCACACGCTTCGTTTACAACTCCAATTCTACGCGTGCCCGTGCGCAGCTAACTGGTCCTGCCCCAAAATAAAATGTTTGGAGGGGCACGAGCCAATCGCAACTCGTAAACTTTCCTATTGTCCAAACAGCACGCGGAAGGTGTGGGCGAGTCGCGACCGCGGTAACCAATCAGGAAGGTCCTAACGGAGTAGGGGCGGAACATTCTGAGGGCGCGCGGAGTGCTGTGTGAACCAGTGCGTGGAGTCTGCAGTGTGCACGAGACCGCGCACTTTCCGAACCGGTTCAGACCAGACGGTGCGAGGAGGTTTGGCGAATACCGACAGCGCTGTCTCCATGCTGAAGTGGCAGGAAATGAAACAAGGACATCACAAACCAAAGGCACCATCATCTTCTTTGTCTTCTCTTTTGTTCTGATCCAGTTTCTTAAGACGGGGAGGCTTTAATTTTAGAAATAACTTGTGTTTAGATGGCTACTGCTCAGCAGTGTCACCCAAGGACAACCCGGTCCAGTAGAAGGAAAACACTTCGATGTGATTATGAGGCGAAATTATGCGAGTGACCCACTTCTCTCGTTGTCTTCCCTCCCCGTCGCTGTGATTTAGAATAAGGGACTGTGCGAATATCATCGGGGGCAAAATCTGAACATACAGACATTATAACACACAGTTTTAGATGCAGTGGGACTTAAACTTTCCGAGGATGCCGTTATCCCCAACGTTCATCGCGAATAACGTCCACCATTCTGCTTAGGCGATAGACGCTCATTGCAATTCCCGAACTTGCCTGAGAGTCATCACATTTTTGAGTTTTTGTCAATATCACAGTAATCCAGTGATAATTTTGTGTACATGCATGGGAACAATGCATACAGGAACTTGTACTTGTTGATTCGGCATACTTTTGATTGTGTTCATTAGCATAAAAATTAAGTAAATGTAGACTAAAAGCACACAGCTGACACGGCAACATTATATTTCCTGTTTATATTCCCAAAGCATTGTGGGAAATGTGGTTCCAAACATGGAGCATGATTATCTCCAAATAGAGGGAAGACAAAGAACAACAATACAATACACACATAACACACACAAACACACACACACACACACACACACACACATATATATATATATATATATATATAAGGTTCACTAAGTTACATTTAATACCACATGAACGTATGATGGAAAACCAGTTGTGACCACCAAGAATATTTTATTATATCACTGTTATTCAGAACTTCCCATCAGTATATAATAATAAATCCAGCTGCTTATATATTATATTATAGATAATTAAGCGCAATACTTTTATATAATTCCACCATATGTACTTTGCTCAAGTTTCTATTAAAGTGCTGTAGTCAGCGGGGAAACTCCTGGGTGTCAAACAGCAGCTGATGGTCCTTGTTGTAACTCTGTTAAATCATTGAACTTTTCAATAACGTGAATGTTACAGAACATAAACGCATATTCTTTAAGCAAACTTCCCATACAGCGTTATTTTTGCACCCTTTTTGTGTCATTTTCATCTTAGTGGATGCCACTCTGCGCATGCGCAACTCTGATCTCGTGGCGAGCTTGGTGTGTTATCGCAAGGCGCGGTGATGCTCCTCAGACTCAGAGTAAAGTAACTCAAGACATCCTTAATATCTCTCTTTCATATCACTAATTATTCGTGTCTCTCATTAACCTAGATCAAGATCACATCATAGTATAACTGTTATAAACTCAGTGTCATGAAAAAATATTAATTAACCAAAATGTAAATACATTTTTTTTTACCACATATCAGTATGATCGATTAATTACAAGTGATTTCTGTAAATGGAGGTATTATATGTCTTTATTTTTCACAATTGTTTGTTATGAATGTGTTACCTGGGGAAAGTGATATTGTAGTTTTTTTTTCATTGGGGGAGCAGTATTGTAGTTTTTTTATTCAGCCCCCTCCCCACCCTAATAATTTTCATACGGTCTTCAATCGTTACACAAGATGGATAGCCTCAAAGTTTTGTTTGATAGTCTTACATCATTTAGGTTCCACCAACAGCAGGTTGTTTTTTTTTTTTTTGTTGTCTGCCTCCTTTACATCCCCTGAACATGACGCAGTGCAACGTCTGAGAGCCAACAGGATCAAACCGGGCAGAGCCAGTCGTGCTGCCCAATCATCACAAAGTAGGGGGAAGGCGCCGGAGCAGACACATTCCTCTTGATAAACGTCGCGCAGTCAGCAGCAGACAGGCGTTTTCTACAGTGAGACAAACCTCTCGTGTTATCAGTCATGTTCACAACACAAACCACCAACGTCTTGATTGCTTTAAACCTTACATTCAGTGCAAAAATGAACTGTAACAATCCTGTCACAAAACAAAATTCACTACACCACGCGTCACTACTGCATAGCCTGCTTGACACAAACGTGGTTCCCTACGATACTGTTAAAGTAACAGCAGCCTATATTCTTTATGTGATGAAGTGTGAACACGAAGTAGGAGTAACAACATAAAAGATGATTTAATTTGTTGAATATACAACAACCAATGTTTGGATAGAGAATCATCATCATCACAGAATATTCAACTAATAGCTGTTCATACTGTAACCACGAGGTGAACAAGCATTTCATTGTTGTTCAGTGAGGTCAAGCCTACACAGCAGGGATGTATTTTGCAAGCATGAGACATACGAGAAGTCAATTAGTGACTTAAAAAAAAACACCAACATGGTTATTCACAGTTTCCAGTGTTTAAATACAAGTGATTAATATAATGGCTGAATACAGATACGTGTACATTGAAAAAGCTTTCAATAGTTTTTTTTTTTTTTTTTTTTTTAAAAGCTATGGAAACATTGTCTTAGGCTAGAGAGTCCTCTAGTGGTGGAATCACAGATTACAATTGAAGAAATTCAAGATTACAGTTATTCATTTTCGGTTTTTTATTTTATAGCATTAATATTTGAAATCTTAAAATTATTGATATGACACTTTCAGAAAAAATATCAACAATTAAATTAGTTAAATTGTTATATATCATTTTAGAAATGTTCAACATAGTCCAGTGTTGTTGTTTGGAGCAATTTTTAAGCATTCCAGTCTTACAGTCCCTTTAAGCTGAAGTATGAGATTCATGAAGAAATAGAAAGCACTGTATACTCCTGCTTTGAAAGTCCTCCAGTTCTATCACAAATATTTCATTAACCACTGCAAGCACCCGCACCATCCAGATGAGTGCAGCACTGAGTTGTTTCCAAGCCTAGCATGGGAAGATATCCATGTGACCAAGCTCACAGACAAAAACACATAATTTGTTCCAACTCTGACTTAATGTAGAGGTGTTAATAGATTGGGGAAGAAATGATATTACATGAATGATAATGCAATAAATAAATAAATAAATGAATGGATGAATAAATAATATGCTTGGAGTAATAATTTGTGTCTGATATGGTTTTTCAACAAAAAGCTTAATTACCTTATTAAGAATATTACAATTGCATTTATTTCTTCTCTCTGAGAAATTCAAATTATATAAATATACAAATATGCAAAAGTTTAACTGCTGGACACAAGATGTCTCCTATACTGAAAACTCCATCCACTGTGTATGTGCACTGGAGGTTTCAAATTTCCACATCACTCTTGTATAAGCTGCATACTGGTCCATGAATGCTGGTTTCCAAACTAGTTGTCATGTCACAAAATCATGCTTATTGTAAACTCACATTTAAGGTGAGCACAGAGAAACTTTCCCCTGTCAGTAGATGAATTTGAAAACAGCTTTCGAGTGTCAAACTCTGCACATACATCATTCTTCACAGTGAAGCTCAAATATCCAAGTGAAGTAAGCAAAACACATTTTTGAGTGGAAGGGGACTGAGTGTTTTCAGAAATGAAAAGCTTGTGGCCAAAACAGTGCTGCTTTGCAGTCAAGCTGAATATCCACTTCTTTTCATTTGCTCCTCTTCCCAGCATCAAAACAATCTTAAGCAGTTTTGCAAAGCAAAGCAAGTTTATTTGCATAGCACTGTTAAACAACAAGACAATTCAAAAAGCTTTATATAAGACATAGAGAGGAACTTCAAACAGTTATGTCTCAACATTCTAACTTATATTATTGTGTGAAATGTTTCACTCATCTTCTCTGGATACATGCAAATTACAAACTTTATGATGGAATTACAGTGTTAGCTGCTCACTCCTCAGAAAAGAGCTATGGAGTGTTAGTGGGACTAACACCAACCAAGCAAAATGTACATAGAAGCCTGCTGTGGCTGCACAGATTCGACCCTGGCTTGTGTCACTATTGTGTATTTCCTCCCTCTTACATGCACTTACCTACTGAGCTAAGGATATACAATGAAGTCCTGCAACAGTGACACCGCAGCAGCTCCTGTTTTCAAAAGACACCTTTATTGGCTATACTTTTAATTCCCAGAATTGAGTTGTATGTGTATATATGTTTGGTGGTTGATAATCCCAGTCAAGAACTATGAGGCTATTTGTGATGCCAGGAAAAAAAAGCATGTGTGTCACTTTTACATACAAATGTCATCTCAACATGTGCATTTGAATCCAGTATTTCCATTTAAAAAATGCAGTTGTTTTCATTTTAGACTGTACATTGAAATATAACTTATTGTAATTGTAATCTTATGAGTTAAAATGCCAAACTAAACATTGCACACTGGCTGTAAATCTCCAGATTCAACAAGGTGCTCTGACTGATGTCCTATCCAGGTGGGTGCGCTGTGCCTTCACATCAGGCTTGTCTCCACAACTAATCAACAAATTACAGGCATGCATCCTAACTGAGGAATAGCTCAACTAGAACAGGCTAGCCCCTCTCCACCTAGCCCCCAGTTTGTTGCTATAACAAACAGTAGACAATGCACAATTTTGCAGCAAATATTTTGTTGCACTTTGAGCAGTGTGTAAATTATTATTATTATTATAGAAAGCATGTTTCCTTGCCTACAATAATTATGTGTTTTTGGTGTCTGGGCATCACACAGACAGCGTTT